TTTGTTAATCCCTCGTATTGACTGAATGTAAAATTTCATGGTAATTGAATAATTGTTTTATTAATAATCGTATATAACAGGCGAGTAACAATAAATATGTTTTGTTTATTTCAACCATTAAACACTAATTGAATAGTTTACATTTATTGCAACATATGTGGAGATATGTATATATGTATATATTGTACTTGAACTTATCCTATAGGATTGAATGGAAAATATTGAAATTTTGAATTTTTGAGAATGACGAACTCAGCATTTTCCATCTCCCGCACACTCCTCCCAGGGACGAGTCTAAAAGATAAACGAAATATCTTATCGATCGCGACATATCGCGACTACTCTTGCCTATTTCACGGAACAGCTCCAGGTTTGCTCATCAGCTGCTATAAGTTGCACGTAAATTAAGAAGCAGTGAAAAAGAAGAAGAAGAAAATTACTTCACTTCATATCTGCAATAAACATTGGTCAGCCAATTTCAGACAGAGCATTTCTAAGTTCAATATAATTTGCATATTGAAACAATTACTGGGTATTTTAGACCAGAGAAGATCAGTCATATAAAGATTTTCGCAAAAACCGATAGGCACATAGTGATTTATAGACAAAGACGAGACGTAAGACGTATTAAAACGAAAGTTTATAATTTCTCAAAAAGGCACAGATCCGATGGCATCGATGTAGGGCATCCAGGTACTAATATACTGTCACTACTATTCCATGATCCGCAGTATAAATTGAGGTTGCCAGAAGCAGCAATATTATAACACATCTTAAAAGCAGAACAAGGTGAATTTAACACTGACAAGTAGGGAATGAGTTCTGCTTGCGCAAAGCATCAAAATCAGTAGCATCATTAAGTACTCCACCACCAATTCTCTTTGAAATTATTTGTTTTGAGCCAAATTTCAGAGAATACCAAGAACCTTTAATCACAGCTTAAACGTATAAATCTTCGAACTTAAAGTTCAAGTCAACGCGGTTATGATATTAAAGCTGAAATCTCTTAAAAGCTTGTTTTCCTTGGCTGTTTAATCAACTTTTTTAGCAAATAGTTTTTTAAGTTTGGAATTGAAATACCTGGCGTGCTCTTATAATATTTTCCTTTTTTCAAATTATCTTGGCTACGATTTGATTATCGAATAATACCAACTATACACCAAGTTTATTTTCATTTTCGGCCGAAATAGATGCAAAATTTTTTCAAGGAAATAGAAAATTAAATTTTTCAGTGAGTGTATACTAACTTCAAAAGTGTTGTTGCTTCGAGGATTGGAAATATTTTAAGGCACAATACATATATATAAATGAAAAATAAAGTGAAATTTATAAGATTGATATGATTCTAGACTTTTCCTAAGGAATTCATTGAAAAATAATTATAGCATTTTTAATTGCTGAAATATTAAAATTACGAAAATTAAAAAAAAAAAAATCATTTTTATTTTTGAAGAAACCTTTGAACTGATATAGCTTTTAATTTCTTTCTAAAAGCTACTAAAACGTACCCAGAATTTAGATCGATCCATTGAAAAGAAAGTTTTATTTGATATTTTTCGAAAACGGTAGGCGAGTGCCATTCGGAAGGCACTGCCATGCGGTCGCCTCTTGGCAGAGCACGGCAATGCCTCCGAGTTTATTTCCGACTTGAAATAAAGGCTTTACATTAAAATCTACTCAGATTATTTAAAACCTATTTTAAAATTAACAACAATCACGATTAAAACGTTTTGAACAGTTTAATATCGAATAAATGTTTAAGTTTAAGTTTTTAGCAGAAATTTCTATAGCTAGCAACTCTAACTTTTGGCGTCATGTAATACGAATGGCATGAGAAAATAATGACAAAAAGGTGAAAAATTTTCAAAATTCGAAGCAAACGGATAGAATTTATAAAAATTTAATATAGAAATCGATTTACGCATAAAATTTCTTTATGTGCTAAACCTATTTAATGAAAAATTCGTGTTTAAAAAATTGAAGCTTTGAAAACGTGTACAGTGGGTTATTGTAGACAGTAATTAAAAAAAAATTGTTCAAGTGATAATAATGATATAATTTAATGATACATTTTTTAAAGCTGATAAATTAAAATTTTGGTGTTCAGAAAACGTGATTTCATCGGATCGTTAAATATATAATGTACAGATATACTGGAAAGTAGTATTGCTTGAATTTATATCAATGAAAATATATTCAAAAATGATATTTAAATATTAACGCCATCCCAGCTGGTCCTTTGTGTAAAGCTTTTACGCACATTTGGTGGCCCCGGCTTTATGAACAAAGCTACAAAGGCTACACCTTGCACAATACTTTGTTGGGCGCTAATTTTTATGTAATTTTTTTAGTCAGAAAATTCGACGACGGCTGTATATGGAAATGTTTCCTATATTTCTGTTATTATTTTCACATAAATATACATTTTTTTAAAAAAAATTACTTTTTTTTGTGATATAAGGATCAAGTCTCGCCCACTGTATATATGACGAAGTTGGTTCGGTGACGTCAACGGTTGTCATAACCTTGTTTTCTATAAACCTTCATATGAAATATTGTTTAAAGTGACAATATTTTCAAGTTAAATTGAAAATAAGATGTAATGTCAAAGAATCTTTTTCTGCCAATTTTAGAGGGGGGGAGAACTACCTTCCTTTTTTGTGTCATGTAATAAAGTGTAGGTCCCTTTGATTGTTTGAAAAACATCAAGAGTCGCAAAAGCTCGAGCTAGAATCGCTTCAACGGGTACAAAGCGTCACGTATGTAATAAATAGAGAAATCAAACTTGCTGTATCGCAGATTAGATTGCTGCCAATCCTTATTTGAAATTTTCAACAACACATTGAAACATTTTCAGAAATGCTAAAACCGATAACTTTTCGGAACGAATTCAATGTATTTATCGTCCCTCGATTATATATTTTATTTCTTAAGCAAGCCACAAGGACAGAAACTTATGTATGCTCCTTTTATATCAGGAATTATAAAATATCCAATGTCGAATTATAGGAGTGGCACAAAGTGTTGAACATTATACAAATTTTAAAGATGTAAAATATATATTCATACATACATATATAAGAAATATATTTTATACATAAATGTATAATGAGTCTCCCTGTTTATATTTAAAGGCAACTTCTTAAATGTCTGCCATCCCAATACAAATGACAAGGTTGGTTAAGAGTTTATTACTCACATATATATACATATATATACGAGTACGAGGTGTGACAATAAAGTAATATGGTAACAATGCGATCTTGAAAATGCCTTTCCCATCTCGTGTCATACTTCTCCTCTATATTGATATGTTTGCCGTCGCTCTAGCTTTTTAGTTCACCTGCTGTGTCGTGTTGAGTAAACGTCCGCCCGAAAAAAGCGGGAATGAGCAAGTCGAAGGTGAAAACGATGAATAATATCTTTCTTGATAGCCGTGGAATCATTCACAAAGAACTTCTTCTTCTACCAGGTCCAACCGTAAATCATGTCAACTATCGCCAAGTACTCGAAAGGTTGCGAAAACAAGTCGACAGGATGCGCCCAGACAACGCTCGTAACTGGATCCTTCTTTACGACAACGCGCCGTGCCACACCGTCCTCAGCGAGCCTCAGTATTTGTCCTCTAAAGGTATTGCCGTGTTGCAACCACCGCTTTATGCGCCCGATATGTCACCCCATGACTTCTTTTGTTCCCAACAAAGGTCAAAGGAACCCAGATTGTACTCGATTGAGTACACCCAGACGGCCGTGACGAGGCCCAGTCGAAGCATTCCAGAAATGTGACGAAATATGGAGAAGCCCAAGGAGACTACTTTGAAGGATATGGCAGAGTTATATAATAATTTCGAAATATACAGTTTTTATGGAATCAGTCTGGTTACTTAACTGTCACACCTTGTATATGTATCAATGTCGTAATTTATTTAACGTAAAAGATTCTGGTCGGTAAACGTTTTATGACATTTCGCGCGCGCCACACTCGCGTTGGTTATAAAAATTTGCAAAACATTTATTATTGTTTATTTAAGTGTAAAATTATGGTATTTGTTTACACGTACATACGTATATATGTATGTATTAACAGTCTTGAGGTGGATACATATATAATTGGTGCATATATATAAAAGGTGAAATTAGCTTTCCTGTTGATTGCTGCAGCTTTTTTAAATCTCTTTGCAAAACCTTAAACTCAATTATGGCATTTCAAAATGAAAAGTAAAGTTAAGAACTTCGTGGTAATTTTGCTATTATGACGCTGCGTATACGTAACTTTCTTGCGCTCAGTGCATTTGCAGCTGTAACATTTTGTGCACTCAATTAAAGAAGTAACCATTCGTGTCATTGAAATATTCTATTTTCAAATCCAAATAAATAAAAAGAATTAAATTAAAATCAGTAAAATATTTCAAGCTTTACTTTTTTCGCCATTTGGCCTTTTTTGGAATCTGTCTGGTAATTATAATTATTTTAATTTTATTATTAATTTTGCGAATCATTGCTAGCCATCGAGCGCTACTTCCATTACTTCTACATTCACCCACCCACCGTCAGCAGTGCAAGATTCCCTCGATTAAATTCTCTTTCATTCAACCTTTTTTAAATAACAAACACTTATAAATACTTATACAACATATATACGCATATGTATATATATATATATATATATAAACATGCATTAAGCACTTCTGGTGTTATCGTGAAGTTTTGAGCGATTTATCAACATTTAACACAACAAAACCATTTCAGTGCTATATACTCTTACATACTCGTACATATATATGTATTATAATGTGAGCACGAGTATATGTAGTTATGTGCAAGTTCAATTACATTTACGTATGTACATATGTGTGTATGTGCTCGCAGGCATGTATTTATTTACGTAAATTCGTATTTATTTATTTATGCAAAATAAAAAACAAAGAGAAACGAAATACTCCAATAATGTGCTCAGCGTACGAGCGTGCTCTGGCGGCTTATTAGCCATTTTAGTCGTGCACTTTCCTCACAAGCCAACGCGTCAAATGGGGCGAGCGTAAACAAGTTAACGGTATAATTGGGAATTTATTTTTTGTCCGACAAGCTATACGCATATATATATATATATATATATATATATATTTATGTATTCGTACAGATTATTGGCAATTTTTCAGACTTAAAATATTTCAAAAGTGTCCTTTGAAACGCGCGTGTGTGTATTGTGTGTGTGTGTGAAAATTTGTTAACGAAACCCAAAGAATTAATATTGTGAAAAATGTGAAATATAAAAATATCTAAGTCAAATCAAATCAACCGAGTGCCAGAAATCAATGGAAATAAAATGTGTTTTTGGTAAAACAAAATTTTATTTCAAATACTTAATTATATCTAAGTCATTCTTAATATAACTTATTTAAATTTGTAAAAATAAAAAATAAAATATATATAAATCCATAATAATAATGGTTAGCCCAAAAGTGAAGCAAATCTGTGCAATATTTTTAACATTATTAAAATATACTTTTCATTTCCGACTTATATTCTCTCTATGTATGAAATTCTCTTTTGCCTCACAATAATTTAGTTGTGCACTCTACGTCAGCAATACTCGAGTACCTTAAGCGTATCGATAGGTTCCACTAGCAACATGAAAAAGTGATGAAAGGGCTAAGCAGTCTTTGGTGACATTCAATTCATTCGCCTTTTCATTGTCTTCTACATCACAAGTGATATTCACTGTGTTTTCCACGTAAGAGTCTGTTCATTGCCTCCTTGCAAGATCTCACATATTTAGGCTTTGCGTTGACCAATTTGCGTGCCTTCATTCTAGCGAATCAGTGATAAAAATAATTAAAGTTTTAGTTTCATGGCCAAAATCAAAATCTCATCCAATGTGGTAAGAGTTTCTTATATACATATTAGTTCTTTGAGGAAAATCTCTCACTTGAAAAACTTAGTAAAGTCACTGTCAGCGGCATAAATTAAGAAAGCGACCTTCCGGCGGGATTTAAATAATATAAATATCAAAAATAAAAAATGTTTCCGATGGTCTGAATTAAGCCTCCTTTTTCGAATTGCCAATTATGAAAAGCTTCCTCATTTAACGAGTATTAATAATGGAAAACAATATCAGCAAAATGGCCGAGACGGCTAAGCTTACAGAGCCTTATACTTTTTATGCCCTCAATAGCTTCACAAATTCAATCTTTGAAATCTTGACTCGACGCTGGTCTATTAGCGTGAACTTTATCTTTGACGTGGCCCCAAAGAAAGTAGTCACAAGTTGTTAAGGGGGGAACTTGATTTAAAACACTGAAAATTGCATGATATTCGGCACATTGTTTTAGGTTGCCTTACGTTTGAAATGTACTTTTGAAATGGGTCAGAGATACACAAATCTTGCAAAAAAAATTTGTTTTCACTTTATTTGATACTGCTAAGCAATAACAATTCGTATTTGCTTGTGGCACTTCTCGCTCGAAGAGTCTATTTTGTGAACAGGATAGCGATCGTAGTTTTCATCTGAAACATAAAAACGAATACTTTTTTTGTAGCTTAGGAGTTGCTCTTCTATGTGAACCTAAGATATTCGAAGAAATGTATAAAATTATTTATATTATGACGTTTTATAAAAAATTTTGCCTTTTTCTGAAGAAGTTATAAGATAATTTATTGAAAAAAGTTAATACAAAATTTTTTTATTGTGATTTTTTAGGTTCACATAGAAGCCTACATTATTAGCTGTAAAAAAAGTAACATTTATGAAAATGCGACAATTACAACTTTTTTAATCGGGTGCACAAAACAGAAATGCACTGTTTTGAGAAAATCGCGTCCAAAGTTCTCACGCCCGCTTATCAGTGTCCTGAGCACATTGTCTCTCAGAGGCCATTTCTGCAGAACGATTAGGAATTTGACTCTGAAATTTTGTGGAAATATTTCTGAATATATTTTTAATCGAATGAAATGAGTTCCATAAAATCGATTTTTTACCTTCTAAACCCGGTTCCCCCCTTAAATGACAAAATCTCGGTTTCCAATTGTGATCAGTTCTTCTAGAGTTAACGCGGTTCGAAAAATTTTCCCTTAAAAGATCTAAGATTTCGTTGCTTATGTGGCACGTAGCGTCGTCTGGTTGCAAAGTTGTCAAAATCAATACCATTCTATTCCAGCCATTAAATATATTTATCTCTCAATTGCACAATCCATATATTTTCGAAAAAATAAGGTTCAATGACCCCGCCGTACCATAATCCGCACCAAACAATTACACATTGAAGATGCAGAGGCTTTTCAAAAATAAATCTTGGGTTTTACGAGACAGAGATGCGATAGTTTCGTTTATAGACTTAGCCAACGAAGTAAAAATGGGCCTCATCAGTCAAGATGATTTTTCGACATTGAATTAATTTTAAGAACCCCATCAGCAAAAACACAGTGTTGTTGATGATCGACCGGTTTGAGTTCTTATATATAAATATAATTGATGCTTTGTAACCGCTGAAGCAATTTTTGACCGAGCTTCTCCTCCAATTTGTGGTTTTGTTTTATGATGTTTTACCAAGAAATGGTGGAACCTACAGCTTTATACTAACCGCCTCCGAACGGCTGACGGTTTTTTATGAGAAGCTTATTTCATGTCAGAAATATACTCTGAGGGTTTGAAATTCCGATCCGAGGTGATCGCATTTAAAAAATTTTAGCTTAATTTTTTATTTAAATTAATTTTCTATAACTTTTTTGATGTTAGTACGACACCAGGATTTACAAATGGCAGCACGCCATGCCAACCCCTCAGCTACCGTGACCGCTAGGTTTGAGTTCTTGTATTAACTGAACTTTAAGAGAACCGCAAGATCCCAAGTCTTTATGCAAAATGTAATGACATTTGCGGAATGCCCAATTCCAATGAACCGCGAGGAATAAAAAAACCTGGGGCTTCTTCTACACTTTGGGCTACAAGCGAATGTTCTCTGTTGTTCTTAAGCGACATGCAAGTATTATATTCTTCTCATCATTAACGTATCTCAACAGCGCCATTTTTTTCACCAATCTCTGTATTGCCTTCCAACAAAGTACTTCACGGCGACCAAAAGATTTTGAATTTTAGTGAATTTCAATCAATTAAATGTGTAGGTGAAGCGTCTTTCGTTCCATTTTTATTTTTGACCGCTGCTTTGACAAACATTATTTATGGATATAGAAATATTCTAAGAACTTTTTCTTATCGCCCATAAAGCACTTGGTGTATCGCGCAACTGAGATCTCTTTTTAACTGATTTTTAGGTAAATACATCTCTTTCCCTTTTTAAGGGGTATGGCCACAGTAGAATTTTTTAAAAGTCTTTTTTTTTTTTTGCTTAAACGATGCTATATAGTCATAAAAATGATATGCCATTTAACTCAGATTGAAATAATAATTTTTGACTTATTGAAGGTGTATATCGAAAGCCCACCTCCAGCTCGGCTAACTTATATGTGAAACTTTAAACGCGTTTTTCTCGAAACAGTTTTTTTTTGAATTGGCGTGACAAATAACTTGTACAATTTTGATCCGATTGACTTCAAATTTTGACATCATGTTTATTATTGCATTCCGCAAGGAAGTACGTAGAGGATTTTCGATTAATCAAGTACTTTTTTGTTATGACTAGTTTATTACAGAATTATTGACTAAAAATGCACGTTTTATGTTGAAATCCCTATAATTTCCATAAAAATCAATATTTTTGAAATCCCCTACGTACTTCTATAGCTATTGTCTTGCAGATTAACGACATTTTTTTGTTTTGTTCCAGGACAAGAATTGTAGATGCAAAATGTCACGCCGTGGAGCGCTTTAGAAAAATTGATGAAAAAGAGATCAGAAATATCGGCCATATTGTGCCGGAAAAAAATCTAAAAAAAATAGTTTCTCATAAGCTTTATATCCGAACTTCATCGGTATGTGATTATTTTCATGAAGAAATAATAGTTCCATACAAAAAAATGTAAATTTGCACATGGTTTTTTACCCGCTACTGTGGCCATACCCCTTAAGGAGTTTACTGCATACTGCATAGCCAATTAGGTAAATGGTTATCCTTTTTTTAAGTAAAATTCATTAAATCATCCAGTAATTTTTATTACGTTTACCCTCAGGCCCACTGAGTGTTACTTTTGAAAGTGGTGGTAATTATATTGGGAACTTTTGTATTGAATATTCCATAATGCGAATTAAAGTCCTACGACGACAACCGCATTTCCGGTTAATGAGACTTTTCCAATATCTTTATATTTGATTAAGCTTAAATATGTACATCGCCAAACTTTTTGCCAGCCGAAATGCAAAATATTAATTACTTTTTCGGCAGTTTTATTAAAATTACGTGAAAAGCTAAAGTATGTTGACCATCCGTCAACAGTTTTAGAAATTTTTAGATATTTATTGCAATAGTTTTTTATCGCTATTAGAAACCATTCAGTTAATGGACTATCTTTATTTTTTTTTTACTTAATAGCTCCTACTATTCCTGATCTTATTACTTTCAAGATTAGGGGCTTTTAGCCTAATGCAAATATTTCTTAAGGAAACCGTAAAACCGGTGAAATTAAATTTGACTCATACGGTTTATTGGTATGACTAATGTGAGCAAAGAAAATTAATCATCACATTTCATTGCTATATATGTATGTATATGTTTACCTTAGACAATGTACAGTAAATGTTTAATTACATAAAAAACGCTCTTCTATTTGAGAATTTATCTTATTTTCGTTAAAATTATTTGTTTTGTAAGCAAGTTCACTGGTGTTATGAAAGTGTTTCTTATCTTTCTGTTATGTTTTTTTTTCTCTTTATAATTGATAAACAACTATAAAATAGCTTCACATCTTACGATTAACTTTATGTTAGAGATATTCTCGACATGTAGACGAAAACGAGATGTAATAAAAAAATCAGAGTTATCACTTCAAATTATTTGTTGATTCTTTGTTTTAAAAAATAAATAATATGAACAGCAATGTCAAGAGTTGTTCTTCACGCAACCAAGATATCGGATATATCATGTATTAATGGGTTCGTGTCCTGTTTCAACAAACATCCAAAATTATAGAAAATAATTTTTTCTAAATTCAGTCTCCCCCAAAGTCAACAGTTCTGACATGAAGTACTGAGACTGATTCCATAAAAACCTTCAAAGTAGTCCCTTTGGGCAGCTATACAACGATTCCAGCGCGTTTTCCATGCTTCATAACATTTCTGGAACACTTTGACTGGAATGTACGCCAGTACCCTCGTCACGGCCACCTAGATGTTCACAATCGACTCAAAATGTGTTCCTTTGACCATCGATTTTGTTCTAGTGAACAAAAAAAGCCATGGGGTGACATATCGAGTGAATAAGGCGGTTGTTGCAACACGGCGATCCCTTTAGAGGCCAAATACTGGGATAAGCCCGTTGATCGTCCGTTGACTAGTTTTTACAATGTGGTCGAAACTTGGCGATAGTAGAGCACCACGAACACACGTTACTCAACACGACACAGCAGGCGAACTAAACAAGCTAGAGTGATAGCAAATATATCAATGGAGAGAAGAAGGATGCCGGGAGAAGGAAAGAGAACTTCAAGGTCGCAGGATTACCACAATCGCGGCAATATAATCAATCTCATTACTTTATTGTCAAACCTCGTATATACATATATATCTAAATTTTATACTGCACTTACATCACAAACGAGATTTCAGCTTTATTTTATATCGTTGTAAATATGTTTTAGAGAAATCGTACTTCTGAAAGAATTCTTGTCTAATAGCATTTCATTTGACATACCTACATTTTTTTACTTACTACACTTTTTCCAACATAAATGAGGAAAATGCACCCAAATTACTATTCATTAAGGAACAGAGCCCATTGAATTCTTAATTCTTGGGAAATCTAAAAAAATAAATAAATATATGTATATAATAAAAAAAAGTATATAATTCATTATATAAATATTTGTAATTAATTTATTTATAACTAGAATTACTCATAATCATAAAAACAATTGACTACCAGAAAGGCAATGATATTCACAACTGTGAGGCTGGCGGTGTTCATAGGGAAAACAAATTCAACAGCTAAAGCCATAAGCTTATTTTATATTATCATAAAAATTTTTATGAGTTACTTGTTAAGAAAGGCTAGTGAAGCATTTGTCATGTCGTAAAATGAGTCGGTCTGTTAAAATCTCGACATCAACAGCGAAATGGTTCAATTAGTTCAAACATTTTTTTAATTAATGTAAAAAAAATGTTTAGGACTTACACTGTCGTGTTATATGGATGGGAACATTGAAATCTACTTTAATTAAGAGAAATGAAGCAGCATTCTTCTATGGCTAGAAGGTGTTGGTGAATTTATATCCTTTAAACGAATAATGTACCTAGAAAGATCTGAGCGAAAATCTCATTGAAAATCACCCAAAGCCAATTGGGAACGCAGAGAGGGTTAAGAGGACTTAAGGGGAACTTAAGCCCAACGAAAGTGTACAAATCTTAATTTAATTAAATTAAATTAAAAATGTATAAGCTCAAGTTAACCAAAGCTCTTCACAAACTATGGCCGGAAAATCCGTTTGCTACAGACGCAAATTTCTGCATGAGTTGCCCAAAGCGTCATCTAGTGGGTTGGGATGGTTTACCAGTTTTATATGGCACGTCGTTTTGCTACTTAGGATTATTGATTGGTGAGTAGACTGTGGTCTTACCTGCCCCCAAAGGGGCATTTGCACCGATAGTTTTTTGTGTGCATTCAGTTTTGCAAAATTAACCTCGTTTCACCGAGTGAAAATGTGCCAGTCTGGCAAGCTCGATAGTTTCTTCGTTTCATTGAAAAATTCAATTGAAGTTCTTATAATTTTAATTTTACAATTTCTGAAGTCATTTTTATTCTTTAATAAAATTAATTCATTAATGAAAAATTAATGTTGAAAATATTCATTATAACTGAAGACAAATCGTTAATAAATATTCAGAACAGAATCGTACTGTCGTAAATTCGGAATAAATATATAAAATCAGTATGCTGTTATCACTATATTCGTTTGAAAAATGAAAAACAATGTTTTTTTGTTTAAAGAAATTTATTGAATTGGATCTGCTTAATTGGATCCTGACAATATGTCTTAGAATCTCAAACCTAACGAATTCTAGCTTTAGTTCGATAATGGTAATGGATAATAGGTAAGACGTTGTTGTTCAAAAGATGGCAGATCCCTTCTTTTAATACATGTTCGGCTTGCTGGACAGTTTCAACAGATATTTTTTTAACCATTAGTCACTTCTTTCATTGGTATATCACTGCGCTTTTACCCTTGAGATTACGTATCGCCTATCTAGGTGGATGGCAAGGTATTTAACATAACTTACTTGGAGGGTCATTGCGTTGTTTAGCTTTAGTATTGGGCATGTTTCTGCTAATAAGTTTTAAAGTGGTTTTCTAATGTGTTTGAGGTTTTCATTGGGCACCTGCTCCCACATAAAATAACAGTATCGTCTACGAATGTTGGGGATAGTACTTTTGAGGTTTTTGTATAAGATAAATTTCTGAGCAATACTCTTTTAACTCAAATGCCCTTATAATCTCATTGGTAACTCGATGGAGTTATTCTGTATAATATAATCGGCAGAGGTCCTCTTTCAATTTGTCGTATGCGGCTGGATGTTTTTCGAACGAATGGAACTGTAGATCCCAGTTTTTTCTAAGCCACCTTTAAGAGGAGCATTCTGATTTAACTTTTAAAATTAGTTTACGCAAAATTAAACCGAGATTTACCACCAGATCAAAATAACACATTATTAACCTCAAAGCAAGATGATAGGTATCCTCCTGTAGAACAGCAAAATCGCACTAAATCACAAAAAATTTTGAAGTTTTCGCAACATTCACTAAAGCCGGGCTTTTTTATGAAGCTTATTTGGAACTAAACAAATTCGATTAACCCAAACCCCTCATATAAACTCTAAGAACTTCTGAAAGCATGGTCGAGTACAAACAGGTATGATTTTGTCAACGGTTTGCCACGCATTAAATTTAAATCTCTTAAAATAATAATTGAAAGAGAAAAAAAAACTTTTAAATAACTTACAAATTCGACCACGGCGATATGTACCATAATGTTATGTGAACAAAAGCCCCTCCAGCATGAACATGGATGCTTTTAAATTCAATTGAGTCTATGAAAGGAGTACAGACTTCTTCTGCGGGAATTGTCGAATGAACCGTAAAGTAGAGAACACCCGTCGATTCTATTCAAGTGAACATATTTATAATTTTGATATTCAAAAACGTTTTACCCATGTTTCAGTCAATGATATTACATTGCTGCGTCAGAACAGTCTTGAGATCGCTAACATCTTGATAATAATACTCGTAGATACTAAGCAAGTAAGGACCCTCCTCGTGTGGTCGCGGACTTCGAGCAATAATCCGATCATCTTTACTAATAGCTTTATGCTGAAATTCTGGTGGCCAGAATGACCCATTTCTTCTAAAATTCAAATGTGTCGATGCTTTTAAATTTAAAATTAAATTTTCATAAATTTTTTTTAATTTTTTTTTTTTGTTTGCAATGCCTCTACTCGTTCAACGCCACCTGCTTTGGTGTGCAATCTGGTCACTCTAAGAACTTTCCGATTTCAATTTAATTAAAATTGATTTTTTTAATTACCTACGTGAACTATAAATACATTAATAGGCATATGCATTTATCTTTCTTTATATATGAACGTGTATACATACAAACACACGTATATATCTATAATATTTGACTCTTATCTTATCACACTTAACGTGTTTACTTTGTCATATTTATACATTATTAATATTAATTAAATTTTGCTTTTGCAGATCAATAAATACAAAATTTGCGAAACAAAAACAACAACAGCAACAACAACAAACTATAAATGTAACTAATAACCGATAAAAGAAAGTAAGCATTTCTCACAACATTTACGTTACAACAACAGCGGTTGGCGGTAGCAAAATACGTATTTATTAACAATAAAAAGTCGCGATTATTATACCGTTAATATTAATAAATAACTGAAAGAGATTTTCAATTTCCAATACCAAATAAAACTACAAACGGAAATCATAAAGATTGAGACGTCAAGTGCGCAAGCCAGCGGTGATGAGAGTCATTAGAGAGCAACAACAAAGTAAGCAATTAATGCCAATAGCCAATATCCAAGTGGATGTATGTATTAGTAATAACAAATAAGTAGTAGCAATAATAGCAACGTACCCGTTATCTAATTGGTTATAATAACCAACACAATAACTACAATAATTACAATTAACAAAGCAGCAACGTTTGCTACTGTTTTAACGATAGTCTAAGCAACAACAACTACCAAGCAACATGATGGATGTCACATCATCGATGGTAAGCCTTGGTAATACCAACAGCAGCGTGAGCAATAGCGGAAACAGCGAAATGTTGCAACAGTGCGATGAAGTTGACTTCGTTGCTGTTGCCGCACACAATAACAACAACAATAACATTTTCAAAAGCCACATTATGAACAACAATCAAAGTGGCAACAATAGCAATGCGGTTGAGAGTACAACAAATATATCGAATTCGAATTCGAAAATCTTTGCTAACTCGAAAACATCAACAAATGAGCACTTACGATATCAACAACAGCCACGACAACAAGAACCACAGCAATACAAAGATACTTCAAAGAGTAAAAAGAAATCTGCCTCAAGCAGCGAAGAACCAAAGAAGAAGAACTCTGCAAAAGAACGTCTCTCCCTGTTTTCTACACTGGGTCGACGTATTAGTCAGAAAACGTTGGGTCAGAAGGACAAGAATGCTGACGCCTCTAGTACACAATCCGATAAAACTATCGCCACGGAGAGCTCAGCTACAACACCAACAACGGCGGTTGCAACCACAAACCCCACAAATCCCGCAACACCTCCACGTCCACGCACTTTCGTTAAGGGCTCCTCTATCGCCCGCCTGCTGGGTCATACACATAAGAAATTCGAAAAATATCAACAAACCAATGAGAAAGACAAAACACCAGTGGATGGTAAATTCCATACATATGGTGGTAGACGCCGCACCAACGGTCCATATCTCGATCGTTTTAAGCGCTACTCCAAAGATGATGGTGATGTTAACTCAACCAATACCAGCAATGATAATAGTAACAATAATGACGAGGATGCGGACACATCCATGGACTTTACCGATGTGCTAGATTTGGAGGCCGATACTGCCGATGAGCTTCAACGTGATTCAAGCGGCTTAGATCGTTTCTGTGATCACAGCACAGTGGCGGCTGGAGATGATGAAGCGGCTGCAGAATTAGGCAGTAAAACTATGCGAACGTTATCGCGCAGCCTCGGTCGTTTGTGGGGCAAGCGCTTGCATAGTGTGAACATAAGTACACCAGATCCCGAGTATAAAGTGTCGTATTTGGGCAATGTGCTGACCGGTTGGGCCAAAGGTGAGTTAAAGTCTTGTGTATACAATAAATGTCGAGAATTTCCATATTTTTTAAATGCGTAAACGGTAAAAAATCACGTACTTTGTTGTATTTTGCAATCCCTGATAACCCTGATAATGAGCTTCATCGCGTGTATGTCTGTCATGATTGTTTATTAAAACTTTAAAAAAAATTTAAATCGAATTCAAGAAGAAGATGGCTATAGAGATGTTTCATGGAAATTTTGTAAGCAGACAAAAGTCGTTTGAAGTCGATTAAATTTACAAACACTTTTAAATTCAATCTATCCGCTAAATATATTTGAAAATCCAGTCAGATAGTAAGGTTAAAAGGTTGCTCAAACGCGGAACCCTGATCTCGTGATAATACCTATGCTGGTTCTGTGAAAAAGATTCCTCTCCAACAACATAGTATGCTCAACCAATTTGGAAACGAAGAAGAAATTTTCGAGAAATCGATAACGGAAAGCACTGAGATCTGAGCAGTGACAGAAAAGTTATTTGAGAAACAGCTCATCCTTCTACCACGAGTTAATATGGCGGTTGTTATGCTTATGAAGGTCATGTATAGAATAAAGAAAAGCTAAGTACTGTTAACTTGAATCATTAGCACATGGTTTTACTCTGTCATCTGCTGCTATGGTGAAATACTTAGGCGACGTAAGAAATATACCTACATCATGTGCTAAGTTTACCGCAGCTATGACGTTTAGCAGATAGTCTAGAAAACATATAAGTCTTAGTTTCGGAAAAAAGTAATAAAAATTACAACTTTTTCCATTTTAATTTTAATAAAAATCATCTAGCAAATTCTTTTCTTACATCTGCGACCTAAAAATAACTACTTGAAACGAATATTTTAATAGATCCATACGTGTATTCGATTATAGCATCTGTTTAGAAGATAACCCCACAAATAATTTAAAAATTCTCCAAGTTGAATATTTTAAAGGTGGCAAGATTATAGTATCCTGAGCTAGCACGTTTAGTGTCAAAAATTTCGAATTGAAACCATTTTATACCCTAAAATTTTTCTATCGTGGAAAGCTCTATAAAAAGTCTATTGTACTTATTCCGTAGTTAGACAAAAGTATAATGTTTTGAATGAGTCACCTTACAAGAAGTAAATGACAAGCATTCAAATTAATTGTACTTTAAATCCGAAGTCTTTCTACACTTTTTTTTATTCGAAACGTATGACTTTTGGGTTTCTCTCAGCTATGCAAATGAGTCATGAAATTTCTAGTTTTTGTTACAGAATCGGAGATTTGTTAGCAGTCCTTTTTGATACAAATTATGAGCCGAACACAGAACTCGACCCCGCAGCCATTCATTTACCCTTACTTATTGCCTTCTTTTGATAACGTAAAAGTATCTAATAAATATTTCCACTGATATAATTTATCACGATTTAAATACCCTTAAGAACCCATTTACATGAGGTCCCAGCCAGTGTATTTATATTTTGCACTAAATTTTTATATATACCATTAACGAAAAGCCAAACTTATTTCCTTCTTTGTGCAAAGAGTCGTATACTACAGTGAGTTCAAAAAATATTCGCGTTTAGTAAAAAAATACCGCATTACAGATACTCTGTAGGAAAATAAATATTCTTTGATTTTTTTTAACGAAAAGTAAAGTATATTTAATTAACAGCTTTTTAACATAAACAATTATTTCCTTTGATAATCTCTTGGAGCTATATTTTATATAAAGTAATGCAATTCATGTGAACGATATTTGAACTTAGAGGTAAAGTAGCGATTGAAGCTCAATGACTAATAATTTATTGGAGCTCCTTTTGCTTTTAAGACTGCTTAATACGATCAGGCATCGATTTAATTAAATTATCTAAAATATCTGATGAAAAGCTGTTCCAAACTAGTTCGACTTGAGTACAGAGTTCATCTATGGTTTTCGGTGTTGCTCTTTAAGCATTTAACCCTTTTATTTACAATCGCCCGTAAACTTTCCATAGGATTCATATCGGGTGACTGAGCTGTCCGAGAGTCTGTAATGTGGGCATTATGTTTAGGAGCATTATCTTGCCTGTAGTTATAACAAATCACCGGGTTCGCATGCAAAAATATCAAAGCTAAAGATAAGTGAATCCTTTAGAATGCTAATATTGTCTGTAGTCCGGATTATTTTCTTAATTCGAAGCAGTTTTCCCAACTTTCCGCCATGAAAAAACCCCACACCATGTAGGAACCACTTCCGAATTTAAGTGTGCGCAGCATTATCCTTTCTGTTCGCATCGCTTATGATACCGCGTCCAAATGAGTTCACCTAAATTAATACGACTAATTTTCGTTTCGTCAGACCACATCAATAGCTTGGACAGCTCGCTTGTCCAGTTTCAACCCAGCCGCTTTGTTTTTTAATCATTGGGCACGCATATTGGAATTTTTCAGCTAATTTCTAATTGTATTGCTAGTCTCCACTGCATTTTTAGCTGTGTCAGTCATGATAAGATGCCATAAAGTTCTTTCTGTTTCAGGAGTTAGCTTTATGGGGCTGCCCAACTATTTGGATGGCGTGTCAATCATGTATTCTTTTTATATTATAGTCATGACACCAATTGAAATTTTACATTTTTGTGCAATCGCTATAACTGAAAGCCCCTCCGGCAGATCCAAACAAACAACTTTTCGCAAAATAAGATTAAGTTCCTTAATCATGTCTGAAAATTGGACAGATTTATTAAATTACCAAATTTTTCGTGGTTTGATTTTTATGACATGCCTTGGTAAATGTAAAATTCATAGCACAATAAAAATATTTAAAAATGCTGACAATTTATTTATTTTTTTTTTTTGCAAAAACGAAGTTATTTACAAATTACGTAACATCCATTCAGAAAGTGTTCACCTGCTCTTATGAACTGGAAAAAAATTAATTCAAATTTAAATAACCATGAAAATCAATCAAAGTGGGAACTAGAATATCGATGTCATATAACAGCAGAAAATATTTCATGAAGTGTTGCCATATTTGCTTGGTTTTCAATGAGAAAAGTAAAATTTTCATATCGTGAACACTTTTTGAGCTCACTTTATATTTTACGTCCATATAAAGTAGGTGATTTTCTATATTAAATTATATGAATTATAGTAATTTGTTATCATAGTTAATTTAACCCATTGCTGTGCCTTCAATTATTGGCAGCTCACAACAAGGGTTCTGTAAAAGCATGTCCACCCCACCATACCAGTAATGGTTTCAAATCAGACTGATGTTATCTACACTGACTTCAGCAAAGCATTTGCAATTTGTCTAATTCTTTAACTCACTTTAAACTACAATAGATTATTTCGAGCTTCCTCCGTCCTTTCTCAAGTGGATTTCATAGTACTTGATTGGTACAAAACAAAAGGTTAGATTTAAAATTTTTACATCACGTAAAAATATTAGCAACATCTGGGGTTCCTCAAGGCAGTCGCCTCGACCCCGTACTCTTCCTCATAGTCATCAATGACCTTCCAAATGTGGTGCTTCATTCTAAAACACTCATGTACGCAGATGATTTCAATCTCTTTAAATCAGTTCGTTTAATTGAAAATATAGAACTTTTGGAATTTGACTTAAATAATTTATTTGGTTGGTGTGATGCGAATTGTGTGTTCCTAAATTCTAATTTACGATCCGACGACCGAGGTATCCGAGTGGTTAGCGTTCTGACGTGCTGACATGCAGAAGGCTCGAATTCAAATATCGTTGCCACCCCTCCGAGTGAGTATCGAACATGAAATATAGGCTCTTCGTAAAAAAAAAAACAGGAACGGTCCGTATGCGGCTTAGTATAAACTGTAGGTCCCTTTATTTGTTGGAATAACATAGCATCAAGACGCAAAACCACACAGTGGAGGTGGAGCTCGGCTGAAAAATCGCGACTTTTAGGTCCTCTTTAATTGTGTTCACGCAAACTTCAAAATGTAAGGCCCTTTTAGATATTTGAGCAACGCCAACGCTCATTCCGCCAGCATAAAATCCTCTGACCTGTTTTTCTGTAGCAAAACCTCTTACTAAGGAAGGATATCCTTTTGGTTTTTCGAACTGTAATTCAGTGTATTTATTATTTTGGGAGCTCTAGGCCAATTTAAAAAAAAAAAAAATAGAAATGACAACTGTCTCAGAGTTCATCTCTTCTTTGGACTCCTCCTGACAGCGATTGGATCAGCTGATCGCTGTTATTCATCTAGAATCTCCCGGTTCTTCTAGCAAACAACAAAAGTTTTACATTCATAGCGATTTAGATGACTTCTCTATCCGGAAGGCTACACATTAATGTTGCTCTGTGAAATTAATTGTATTGTTTCGAAAATGCGAGGCGAATGTCAGATGAAAGAGAGAAGCAGATAACTAGTACATTCTAGAAACGATAAAACGAGAACCCTCGATAGCGAACAACTCGATGATTCTACACTTTCGTCTACGAGCAGCCGACTGCTATATAAGGGCGACAGTCAGCTGCCAAGTTAAGTTAGTTACAAAGTGAACTCGTTGGCGTTAACATCAGTAAAGTCGTAAAGTAAACGCGTTCGGATTACATTTAAGTAGAGTAAATTGTGAAAGTTTATACAAGTGTTTGTAGCTAGTGAAGGGCATTGTAATTGAATTGTGAATTACTGAGTAAATAAAGGATATTAGATAAATTCTTTATAAGGAAAGAAACTGCAAATTAAGTTGGCGAGTTTTATTTAACAATCCAAAGATCGTGCCCGAATGATTCGATGTTGATTTAGCAAAATCGTAACGGTATGTAAGAAATACATAGAAACGTAGCGTTACATGATGCGCTTTCCTTTTGCCCTCGAGGGAAGTTTATTAAAATTTATTGATATATAAATTTTTTTTGGATTTTTTGAGTTTTAAAAATAAAAATGCAATACATAAAATCGTTGTTTTTTAAACAAGTGTTCTGATTTGTTGTTGTATCTTCTATATTTCTGATAATACCCCAATTCATTAAATAATAAATTTGTTTCTTTACACCCGATTCAGCCCATAATAAACTTATTTCTGCGAACCGCACAAATTTTCAGTAGAACTCCTTGATTTTATCTTGGAATGCTACTCGAGTAAAAATAAATTTCCCTGCCAAAAAAAAAATTATTATTCCACTAAAGAGAAATCCACTTTCATTTTGCTAATGAATTTCACATTTCAATCTTCCCTTCTCAGGTGAGGGTTGCGTTGAAAAGCAACTCAACACGCTCTGGCGCAACTATACCCAAAATAATAAGCCCGACATGATCATGCGCATCAAAGTGTGTGCCAGCGGCATTAAAGCTACAACACGTCAACATGGGCTCACCGAGTACTGGGCAAATCGTATAACCCATTGTTGTGCACCAAAGAACTATCCACGGATCTTCTGTTGGGTTTATCGGCATGAGGGGCGTAAACTGAAGCATGAGCTTCGCTGTCACGCTGTGCTCTGCAGTAAGGAAAAAGTGGTGCAGGATATTTGCAATACTCTGAAGGTGAGTTAGTTTGCGGATGATGTATGAACATGCCTGATTATAACCCTTTAAATTTTAATTCAATAGGAAAATCTGGAACGTGCACTACGTGAATTTAAACGGGAAAAAATTCTAAAGCAGAATGCACGTCTTAGTCTAGCCAACGCGTGCTATGAGAATCCCAGTTTGCCGCGTCGTAAAATCTTGCTTATCGTAGGTGGCAGTAATTATCGGCCGCCATTGGAGCGTTCAAAGTCAGCGCCCAAGTTAATGGCTATAGAGGAAGCGATTGGCGAGGAAGAGGGTGAGGATGCTGAAGACACCAATGAACCGGAAATGAAAGCTTGTTGCCAAAAGGATTCTCTATATCCCGCCATGACATTGGGTCGACGACGATGTCGCCGCGGCCACTCAATAAGACGGACGGGGAAAGCGCGTCCGCTATGTGGTATTTCGTTAGACGAATCACAAAGGCTTAAACAGAAGTTCGCCGGTAACATAAAAGTCATCGGCTCATGTTGTCACGGCAAGGAAACAACCAAAGAATGCGCAAACAAACAAAAAACATCCGCTGCATGTTCAGTTGTTGAAGAGGAGCAGCGTAATAGTTTTGGTTCCGATGACTCGGATGACTTTGAGAAGTTGCTGAAATACAACGATTACGACACCAACGCTTCCTTGGCAACCGAACTGCTGCCCTACTTCGATATGCAACTGCATAAGAACACCAGCAGCAGTCTTAGCGACTTATGTGTGCTGAAGGACGAAGAGGAACCACTAAGCATGTTACCAACCATTAACAGTGATCCGATGGCCCATCCCGAAGGCGATCTGCCACCCACTGATTTTGCTCGTCAAGAGCAGATAGAAGAAGAAGAGGAGGGTACACATGTTGGACTGCGACGCAGCGGGGTCTGCAGCGACGGTGAAGAAGATTACTTAGAAGCAGACGATATGTACTTTCGCCAAGCGACTATTTTAAATATGTTACATCGTAACTCAATGCGTAAAATGGCCCAACTTTCGCTGAGTAGCGACGAAGGCAGTAGCATAGAAACTAATGCGTCGGCGCCTTTGCAATACCGACACCAAATGCAGTCATCGATATCCTCCAATGCCTCATCGAACACCACAACTAGCAGTTCGCTCCAAGATGGGCACAACTCTACAACGACTGCAGGAAAACGTCACAGTGGCGCCGATAGTGATGAAGGTTCCATATCGAGTGGTTGTGAGACTGCCAGTACAGTGACGGCTAATCAAGATGACCTCTCACTACAATACCGGCACAACAAGCAGCTACTCTCGTTGCAACACCTGCAATCAGCAATGCCGCTTGACGCCGACGACGCGCAGTTCTTCACTATGCCCCACGATGTACAAACACCTATCACGGCTGATGAAATCTACCAAAGACTTGAGGCGCGTCTGGAACGACGTCAAAATAGCGATGCCACCACCTTTAGCAGTTCCAGCACAATAACACTGAAGATGGGCACTGCCAGTGGCGGTTCAACACCAGAAAACCAGAATGATAACCAAAAGCAAGAGTCCATAATTGAAAATGAAGCAGCGAGCTTAACGAATAGCACAACGCGTGTGCGCCGTCAACGTCAGCGTCAATTGGCGGCAGCAGTGGCAACACCACTACCACCTAATAGCCACGTAAACGATAGTGACTCCGAATGCAGCGATGAATCTGGTTATGTGGAGTATCAAGAACGCGATAAGACTGTCAAAGAGAAGATTAATGAAGTGGAGCAGCGACAAATACAGCAGCAGCAGCAGCAACAACAGCAACAACAACAGTTACAACCCATTGCTCAACAACGGTTGCAAAAGCCGCAACTGCCACCGAAACCGATACCACGTCGCTCCTTAAGCGGCGATGGCAATGCAATTGTGTCCCTCGTGAACGGAGATCATGGCAGCGGCAGCACCGCCGTATGAAAACAAGCCGAAGGACACGCGTATTTGGAATTGTCATTATTCATAAATTTCCCAGTAAGACTATTAAGCGCAAGATTCCTCTTGTAAATATTAGAAGAATTTTAATAACAAATATCCGGCCTATCTGCGGAGTCTCTGAAATGCCAAGAAGGGTGGGAAAAAGAGATTACAAAGCATATCTAAAAGTGCCTAAATGAATTCTTTATTGAGTGATTTTGGCTACCCAGAAAGTACCTTTAGAAAAGAAAGCAAAAATCCCTACAGGATCCTACACTAGCCCATGATATTAGCTTTAAATGTTTTTGTGGTGTCGGTAAACGTTGGACTATTTGGCTTGATCTACTAAGCAAGGACTAAAATGCATACATACCGATGTACATATACATATATGTAAATGTTAACATTTAAAAAAAGATTAGAAAATTTAGAAAAACTTGCATTTGCGCGCATACCTACTGTACATACATACATATGAATTTTTAAGATGAAAATGAAAAATCGAGTAATTTTGAATATCTAAATTCTGCAACCATTGCCAAACGAGAATACTTTTTCCAATAGCAATATTTAAAAAAAAATATTTTGGAAAACATGCAATGGCCAGCAAAATTAAATTGAATTGAATTTGGAATCAAGATGGAATAAGGAAAGGTGATGCGCCTAGACGGCTTCTCGCTCCAATTTCACCATATTGACTCTCTTAGGAAAACAATTTAAATTCTTTCATAAAATTCAGGTGATTTTTTTTTATTATTGTTAAAAATTTTTGTGAAAAAATATGAATTTTAGTATTTTTGCCTCCAAACCGACCGTAATTCATTACTTTTTTGTCAAAATACAATGTTGAGCTAAGGAAATGAAAAGCAAACTTTTACCAGCTTTACTTAGAATGAAGAAATATTTTTATACTTTTTTTAATCATTGTAAGGGTTTGAAAATTTGCATGGGTACTTGTTTTTTTTTTTTAGATTTCATAATTTTTATTTTCATGATTAATATTACCTTTCAGCGTTATCCTTTCGTTTTTTACCTCGTTAGAATGATTTTTCAGAGTATAATAGTTTTATTGAATTAATTGACTTTTAGAACGTACAATAATCTAATATATGGCATAAATATGCGATTGCTTTATTGGAGAAAAAAAATAAAATTTCGTTAAAAGCATTATTAAAATTCCACACTTTTGGGTGTGTCGTAGGTCATTAGTCTCTTGACGAGTTTTGTATAAATTCCGTACTCTATTGTTTGTGTTGTTATCAGCACAAAATAGCTTCATCTACATAATCAAACTTTAACTAACGAGCGAAAGAAAATTCTCAGTAAATAAGTATTTATTGAGCAACTGTCATTCATATATACAACAATAACAATTGGAACTATTGGATTTTAGTCGCCTCTTACGACAAGCATGCCTTACCGCGGGTAAATTCTTGAGCCCCTAACCCGCAGGGGGTTGATACGATTACACATTCACTTCGCTGAAGTTAGAAGTGTAAGCGCCTCGGCATGCGTGCCTGTCTACATCACTTGAATAAGGATTTCAGCACACGCAATGCAATAACTAACTGAACCGTTGCACAACCTCATTGTATAGACTCTAGAATGGCTAAGATCTTGACCTTTAATGAAATGCGCATTTTTAAATGGTTTCTAGAGAAGAAAGTGAAAACGTTACAAAAGCCACTCGATTCCAAGTTCACTTTTGATGATTTTGCTGCGCTCTTAGAAATAAATATATACACAACTGTATGTACGAGTATGTGCGTATAACTGCTTATATACAACTTGTTGTGTTGGGAATGATTCAACATTGAACATTTTGCATTAAATGAAAAAATATATACATGTACATACATACATACATACATACAAATGTATTTCTAGCGAAAATTTACTTTAACACAACTTTAAAAAAAAACTAAATGGTATATATGCTATATAAGTATGCATATACATATGTCAACCGCTGCAGCGATTTCCATACAAATATGTATACATATATATACAATAGACATATTCATGTATAAATAGTTAAAATATTATTATATTTATATAATTATTTTTTTAAGTCCTCATACATAGAGTGCTTTATTATACATACATATGTACGTAAAGTTTATAGTAGCTTAAAAGAATAGTGATTTCTAGATGAAGAAAGTTATTATCGTACGAATTCGAAAACGATTGATTTTTGGAAATGTTTTTTATTTGCAATGTTTGCTTTATATTTTCGAGTGTATCAATAATAGAAACTGGAAAATCTGTGCTCTAAATTAATTGCAGATAAAAGGAAAAATTTTATCTTAATTTTAAAATGTAAAATTATATTTTTTTATGAATTATTAGTAAAAAGTTATATTTTATCACAAATTAATGGAATCACATATAAATATTATGGTTGTTTATGCATAAGCAAACTGAAATGAAAGCTACATTTAATTATTTAATTTTACAGTTCAGGGAAATTTTATTAAAAAACGGGCGTTTTTATTATTACAAAATATATAATATATAAATAATATATATGTATATTATTTCCTTTGAAACGTTTACCAATTCACTCATTCACCTTTTTGCACATAAATATTTAACATACATAACATACATATTTGCTCTTGTGTACGAGTACTCGTATGTACTTCATATTATACATGTATGTATGTAGCTCAAACATACTAAAGCAATAACGCAATAAATTACCATCACTCATTTGTACATACAACATGAAAGAGAGCTTCAATTGTTAGTCTTTTTTTTTTTGAACACAGCTCATTCCTTAACAGTAAAGTTTTGCATATCGGTTATATATAAAACATTTATTTATATATGTATATACGTGCATACATATATGTAAAACAGCTATATTTGCATGTAAAAATAATTTAAATATTAAATTTCTATGTCAATTATTTTAAAAGATTTATTGTTTGGTTTTAATTGTGCATATATACAAATTTTCAATGCACCTTTGTATGTATACAATTATTTTTTTCCAAACGGTTAAAATGAGAATTGTTAATGCTTTGTTACACTGTACATACATATACATATGTAAATGATTTTAAAAAGTCCTTATAAATCCACTTAGATTGTAAGTATGCACATTTTCAATTATATTTAAACAATTATTATGCATAAATATTATTATATAATAACACAGAGATATTTATACAAAATATTTATATACATATATGAATGTGAATATGTGCATTTATATGTACTATATACATAAATATAAATATTTATATGTAATATTTACCTAAAATAAGTAATAAATTTGAATCGATATAATAAAAAATATTAATTGAATTATTATTAAAAAAAAATGGCTGTCTTTTGCTTATTTGCTTTATTTCGAATTATTACACTAGTCAACAAAAGTCTTGTTTCCTTTGATTTTCTTACGTTTTTGAGTATTTATTTCTATCGCGCTGGCTATGAGAAAAAGAAAAATACTGAACGTTGCTAACAACTTTGCCTTTGGAAATATTTAGTTTCATCGTCTTCTACCTTATTGTGCCTTCCTGGTGGTGTTATTTTGATATTCATATTTTATATTTCGATATAAATGATGGGACGTTTATTTCATTGTAAATAGAAAGATATGCCATTAATAATGAAAAACAATATAAGCCAAATGGTAGCCACGGCTACGCTTACAGGACAACACCCTTTTTATTTTTCCATCACCAAATCGCATAGTGGCTGCTATACATACGGTGTGTCCCAAAAATAACCGAACTTTTTGGATATAAAATAAAATACACATTATATTATCTTTGAAAATTATTATTTATTCAAAATAGATTCCATTTGACTCAACCAGCGCATGCCTAGATTTTTTTTATGTCATTTATAGAAATGTTCTTCAATACCTCGGTTACGGCTGCTTGAATGGCTGGGATATCATCATAAAATGCTCCCTTCATCTTGGTTTTCATTTTTGGAAATAAAAAATAGTCACACGGTGATAGATCAGGCGAATACGGAGGATGGTCAATGAGAGAAATCTCTTTTTTCATTAAAAATTCGAGCGATTTTTTGGTCGTCATTTAATTCATGTGGAACAAATCGCGCACAGACCTTTCTTTTCCCCAACCCAGTTAAAATTATTCAAATAGTGTGTTTACTCCTATTTAATTCTTCAGCCAACATTCTCTTAGTAAAACTTGCATCGATACCAATGATTTCACGGACTTTTTCCACCAGTTCGGCGATTATTTGTTTCTGGACGTCCTGCTCTAGGGTCGTCATTTAAATCCTCACGACCATTTTTAAATCGTGTAAACCACGTATAAACTTGCGTTCGACTCATACAATCATCACAATAAACTTTTTTCATTAATTTTTTTCAAGTTTGACACAAAATTTTATATTTGCTCTTTGTTCCATTTTATTTTTGAACCATTATCACACTTTTGGTTTTATTGAAATGGCTGTCACTTTTACATCTGTCATCCGACTTACACGATGTTAAGTGCGTTTGAAAGAGGATGAATGTAAATTTTTAATGTTGCAAATTTTCAATAGATGGCGCTGTATGTTGTATGATCTAAATATAAAGTTCGGTTATTTTTTTGGACACACTGTATGCCCACGATGGCTTCAGAAATTCCATTGTTGCGGTCTTATATTGGCGTTGGCGTGTTGGCATGGATCGTATCTTTCACGTGGTCTCAAAGACAGAAGTCGCAAGGTCTTAAAACACAAGATCTCGGTGGTCGATTGCGATAAGCTCTTCCTGAGCAAACTCAAAGATCTATGGTTTCGTTGCTTGTGTTGCACGTACAGTCGTCTTTTTAAAAGTAAACTTTCTCCAAATCAATGCCATTCAATACCGTCCATAAAAAATCATTAATAATCGCCCCAAAGCGCAATCCATTCACCCTAACTGTCCAGTCCAGCTCCAGCCTCATTTTCGAAAAAGTTAGATCCAATGTGCCAACCAAACCATAAAATGCACAAACAGTTACACATTGTGGATGGAGAGATTTTTCAACAATAAATCTTGGGTTTTCCGAGCGACAAATGCCTCAACAGTCCAAATGATTTTTCGATAAATTCTCAAATATTTTTATGCATTTTATGCACCTAATCAGCAAAGACAGGACGTTGTTGATGATCGGCCGGTTCGAGTTCTTGTGCTAATTGAAGTTTGTAAGCCGTCAGACGCAAGGCTTTATGCGAAATACAGTGTAATGACGTTTGCGGAATGACGGATTCCAAAGAATGACGAAGAGTGGACAAATTTGGATTTTCTTGAACACTTCGTCAACACAGTAACATTATTCTCTGTTGTTCTTGAGCGACGTGCACGAGTTTTATTCTTTTCATCACTTAATTGTTCCAACAGCTCCATTTTTTTTTTTTTTTTTGTAAATTTCTGTATTGCGGTCCGACAAGGTGCTAAACGACCGCAACATATTATAACTTTACGAACCGTCACTTCCTGCTTTCACTATTTTTATAGCGAAATTTTACAATTTTTCCGAACAGATCTTCCCAGATCGTCCTTGGCAAAGAGACACGTACTTATGTCAACATATTAAATAACACAGAGCCATCGAAATGGAAGGGATTGACATTTCCCGGAAGAAAAATTGTTACAAATGTCCTGTATTTCTTCGTATAAAAGCCTACGATTACTACGGTATTTTTTACATATTTAAGGATGTGAATATTAGATATATAGGGAGGGATTGACATTTGCTGTCGAGGGGCAATTAGAAAATGCAGCTTAGTTTTTTATCTAAATTAATTTTCCATAATTTTTTTGGGTGTTGGACGCACCAGGACTCGAACCCTGGCCTAACGAATACCAGTATGCAATTTTCGAAGCACTTTTACCACTCTGATTGAGGTTGTATCTCCAAAATATGCGTTCCGTACGCATCAACAACATCTTCATGTTTCGAAAAGCATGGATCTGTCAGTTTTTTTTTTCATACGGAAGTAAAACAGAAGTCATTCGGTGCTAAAGACTCGTCAAAACTAAGTTTTGAGTGTTAAAAATGCAGAGCTCGCTTTGTCTTAGTGAAGAGTGATTCGTCTTCGGCGGTTGGTTTTCCTAATCACTTGAAAGACAATTGGCAAACAAATGGTTGTGTATGACTCAGAGTTCACTGTTACTACGTTGTTCGGGTGCGCAGACAATAGGCAACTATTTGCTTGGAAGTTTTTCGCACGCGTTCATCTTTGAACAACCATACAGTCGGCCGCTGTTTACATTCGAGCTCATACGCGTGAATCCATGCTTCACCACCTGTCACGGTGTTATAGACGTGTTTCGAAGCACCGCTGTCGTATTTTTTAACATTTCTCTCGACCAATCGACACGAACCTTTCTTTGAGCGATTGACAAACTCTGTGAAATTTATCGTAAACCAATTTATTTTATTTTTATTCAAATACACAACCATAAGTTATTTTACAATGCTTGCAACTGTATGCCATGCTGGTGAATTGGACTCGGTCTCCAAGATGTTTGAGCTCCTGAGAACTAATGACTTTGTGAAGTAACATTAGACACTTTCACTTTAGTCGAATTCATCGAATTTTATGAAAAATAATTTTAATGCGAAAGTAGTTATGAGCTCACGACGGTTTACACCATGTATCTGGCGATGCTTCTGTAATGAACTACTAGACAGACTACCACATCTGGCAAACAGTTCACATCTATACAGTAAGGTCGGTAACAAAAATGTTTTTGCTAATTACAAACGATTTTTTAATCGTGTGAAATAATGAACAGTCATAAACCTTACATTTTGCCTTATAAATGTGGGTATTCCAAGTCAAAGCTCTTTTGAGGATTATTCCTAGATTTCTGGCAGTATCCACGAACTTAATAACAGAGTTGTTCAGATTCAATGTAGCCTTCGAGGTTTATATGTTTCTTATATATAACAATGCACTGCTATTTTCTCCAACGAGATGTCAACTTCATTATACCCCTATTGGTAAAAAGCTCGGAGAGCCAATTTCCACAGGCCTCTCTTGAGGCCAACTTCTCACTATTAAGGGCGTTCACCATGGACAGGGCAAGATGGTAATCACTTGGTGCCAGGTTCGGACTATAAGGTGGGTGCATTAGGACCTTCCATCCGAGCTCCGAGAGCTTCTGGCGCGTCACCAAAGACGCAATTCGGCCTCTTCTGGATGAGTGCTGGCTTCAAGCGGTCCATTTGTTGGCAGTAGAGGGCCGAATTGAGCGTTTGGCTATAGGGGAGCAGCTCGTAGTAGATGATTGCTTGCCAATCCCCCCCCAAACACACAGCAAAACCTTTCTGGCCGTCAATCCGGTCTTGACCGCCGTCTGGGCAGCTTCCCCGAGCTTTGACCACGACCGTTTGCCCTCGATGTTGTCGTAAGTGACCCATTTTTCGTCGCCAGTCACAATCCGCTTTAGAAACGGGTCGATTTTATTGCGGTTCAGCAGCGATTCGCAGAGGAAAATTCGGTACATAATGTTTTTTTGTTAGTTCGTGTGGCACCCAAACATCGAGCTTCTTTTTTAATCCAAGGTTACGCAAATGGTTCCAAACGGTTTTCTGGCTTTTCTTTAGTTTCTCAGGAACTAAGTAAGTGCTCACGTGACGCGTGGTGCATCTTTGACATAGAAATTGCCGGAACGGAACCTAGCAAACCACTTTTGTGCTTCACGTTCGTACATTATCGGGCCCATAAACTAAATTAATTTTTTCAGCCGCTTTGGCTGCATTTTCGCCTTGATCAAAGAAAAATTTTAAAATATAGCGAATTTTCTCTTTGCTGGTGTCCATCTTTGAAGAGCGCCCACAACGTACTGAGTCAATCAATCGAAAAACTGTCAAAGACAAACTTTTAGTGCAAATAAACACGTTTTCAGCGCCATATTGTATGACATGATGCGACACGTAACACTATTATCTTTTAGATAAAACCCGAACGAACTTCTTACTACACCTAATATTTCCTGTCTTCACTGCTGTGCTGTACAACTTCTATTGTCTATGCAAAGTTTTCCGATAGTATCGCCTGATCTTGAGCCTGAACCGTTAGGTCACATTCTTATTAAACAAATATGCATGTACGTATGTAATGTGTGTATATCTGAATAAATGTATTATCAATATATTTTACATATCTACATAAGCTAACAGTAGAAACAAGCAGAGATTTCACAATATTAGAACAAAGCAGCGTTTTAACATAAGTAGGATATTAACATAGGAACTTCACTATTCAGCTGTACTTATCGGCGGCAGCAGAGTACAAGACCAATTGCTTCGTTTTCCAGAGTTCTATTTATTTTTGACAAATCAAGAAATTACGAACATATTGCGTCCCCTTTTTTACCCTGGACCATAACAGTAGATATACCCGACTTCATAACTATATTTCAAATTTCGCAAATATATTCACTGAGAACCGACACATAGCACCTCTTCGTATGTTTTTTAACCTGCCGTTGACAGCACGTCGCCATGTCTCAACGTAGTATTCCCGAAAAACTTACTCGACTGTGTAAAGTGACTTTGAGCAAGACTAAACACTCCTTTGGGATTATGTAGAGCCTCTCCAAAAGTTTCGATAGCAAACGAGGTTTCAGAAAAGTTGGCTCCTTATACGAACGACTGCTTTAATGTATTGATGGAGAAAATAATACGAATTGAAGAGTTAAATAGTGAAAGGGACCTTTTTCTATGCTCGTAATGCTCGAGTGTGCCACATGTCAATGGGATCGATATCATTAGTCTCAATCATTAATCATTTAACGTTCTTTCTCCAAACTAGATAAGGAAGCTAATCTACGCTACTTCAGTCTGGTAGAGAACCAAAACAAGAACTCCTGTCATCAAGCATGCAATCATCGCGACTCAGCTGTCACGTCACTGTGGACAGTCATAGTTTTAAAGTCGCAGATTACTTCGTCTATCTTGAAACCAATGTTAACGCCAACAACAATGTCAACCTAGAAATCCAGCGCAGAATCACACTTGCAAACAGGTGCTACTTTGAACTTAGTAGATAATTGAAAAAGAAAATCAAGTCGCTCAATATTCCCGTCCAGTTATATAGTGTGGAGAATGAACATCTGATCAGTCGGCACTAGGAGTTTTCGAGATAACAATGAATACAGTTGATCTAGTAGATATACTTAAGGCGACAATGACTAAATTCAGCGACTCAAGGCAAGATCAGGATGAAAGCCCTCCAGCTTTGAAAGTATTTTCGGTGCAAGCAGAGGAGGGGTAAGATCTTCGCTCCGTTGGTAGAATCTGGTAGAAAGAACCTGACTGCACTTGGTGTCTCCATTAAGCGACAAACGTTGAAAAATAGAAACGACTGACGCGCTGTTGTTAACCCGACTATAAGCGCATAAGCGGTGTCTACGCCCGCAAAGAAGATGAATAATGAAATTGGGCAAAGTAAATAAGAATGAGGCTACTTAAGGCTTACATAATTTAAATACAAGACATACAAATTCCATTATTTTCTTACATAACATGCAGATACGGGTACATACATGCATATGTCAACCGCATGTGAAACCACAAATATGTATAGCTATGTAACTATAATATGTATCTTGATGTAACGACATTCCGTCGATTGAGTATTGTTCTTGCGTTTACTGAGTTTTTTCATAATAACAACGCAATATTTAATAGTTGCAAATTTTTTAAATTCAATTGATTTGTTTATTTTCTCTCGTTGATTTTGTCGATTCTTAAAATACAGAAAGACATGTAACATATATACACACATACTTAAATTTTTCGAAGAGATTTCGTAGCTTTACCCATCCACATTCAATGACTTGCACCAACTCTCCACCTCTGTGCCCAATTTACTCAGCGCAAGACTCGTTGGCAATGCCGCATTTCTGCAGCAGCAAACAAACAGTGCCGTGGAAGTCTTGCAGTGAAGCATCCTGCAGTTGTTGGTTGAAAACCTGTCGTGGGAAAAAAGACATGCACAAAAATAATACGAAAAGTTTCGGCGTAACCAACATACATATGTACACACATACGTGTATGTATGAATGTATATACATATATGCATGCGTATATTATTACGCAAGCGTAAAATCGTAAATATTTACTTACACCGTTATAAACGATTGTCGGTACAAATGAGGGCGAATACTGGTTGGTCACCTGCTCGGCCAACAATTGCAACTGTGTGCCCACCGGCGTGTCAACACAATTGTCAACATCGCTGCTGAGGCCAACCAAATCGGTACACTAAACAATTGAAGTAGAAAAAGAAAATATCTTTTAATTAAAATTAAAATTAAGTTAATTTAAATCAAGTTCATATCATGCCGCTTACATCTTCCACATTTTGTTTATCCTTTGCAAGCATTTGGCAAATGGCGAAACGTACTCGCTGATCCTGTGTACTTTTTTGATTTAAAACACAAGACTGCAGGCGGTTTCCCGCGCATTCAGCTGGTCCATGTTGGCAAAAGAACTCGTTGCCATAGTTGACAGACTGAAGGGGGGGGGAGTAAAATTCAATTAATAAAAATTCCGCTGGAAATACTTATTTGGATTGGGCAACATTATATATATATGTACATATATAATAAAGGGTTTTCTATTAAGAACCTGCTATTCCGGTAGATGTCACTATTGAAGCTTTTGGACATTTGACAAGACGAGAAGTCGCAAGGAGTTAAATCACAAGATCTCGGTGGTAAATTGTGTTCACCTCTTGGAGAGATAACACGGTACGGAAACTTTACTCCTAAAAGATCGAACGTTGAGATTTTTCGATGAAATTACGGTTAATTTTCATGCATTTCAAAGACTCAATCAGCAAAGACACTACTTTGTTAATGAACGGCTGGCAAGAGTTCTTGTTTTAAGTGAAATTTATAAACCTTAAGACCTAAGTCTTTAGGCGAAATACGGTGAAATTACATTTGTGTGATGCACAGTTCTATTAAAAGTTCTAATAAACCGCGAGGAATGGACAAATCTGGGTTTCCTTCAACACTTTGGGCTACAACAGCAATATTCTCAGTTGTTCTAGAGCGACGTGTAGGTGATTTATTTTTCCCATCACTAACTTGTCAAGTAGTCCCAACAGCTCCATTCTTTCTTTTCAATTTTTGTATTGAGGTTCGACTAGGTGATTCACGATGACAGAAAATTGTTTAAGTTTTCCAAACAGACTCTGCCAGATTTTCACCATTTTTTTATAGTGAATTCTAATAATTTCAATGCGTTGTTGAAGCGTGCATCGTTCTATTTTTATTACTGGCGTAGTTTTTACTTATCAAAAGTAAAAAAAAAATACAGCTTCAAAAGTGGCATCTATCGGCTATTCAATATAACACCTCTTATTGAAAGACTCTTCTTTAAGAAAAGCGCTCGAACGTAGCAAAGAAAAGGTCGCAGGGAGTATCTTATGATGTTACATGCGTTTATTCGGGTAAAAAATGTGTAATTTCAAAATTTTTTCATTAATGCTTTTGGCGACCTTTTTTTTACTTGAAATTAGATTTATTTGCCAGCTCTAAGTCGATATCGAAAAAAAGTTTTCACATAAGAATTCCTGGACAGGAAGTGAAAAAATCGTATTTGAGCTCATACCATAAACTAGAATTCGGACGAAGATAGGAAGAAAAAGTGGCCTTTGCATGTACTTTTTACAAAAAATGCGAATTTCCGTAAAATATGCCGAACATTTTGTTTAAAGAGTTCAGGTTGGAAGAAAATAGTTCTTCGTTCAATTCCTCATGAATTTCATGCTGTATAAAATTGCATCAATATTGGTTCGAGCAGTTTCCAGGATCTTTCGACAACAGACTTTGAAAATACAGTTTCGAGAAAAACGAGTTTAAAGTTCAAAGCGCTAAGCCTAACTGCCCTTAAGCGCGCACGATCCCGAAGCGATATCGCCCAAACTTTTATTCGGTTCAACTGGAAAATTATTATTATAATATTCTCAAGATGTTATAAAATTTAAAGGGACAATAAAAAAGTCGATTTCTTGAAGATCTGAAAACTTTGTAACCCCTTAAGAGCATTAATTCCCTACTCCTGAAATATGATTTTAAGCTTTGAACTTCTTTGGACATATTTTGTTTTTTTTTTTACTTACACGTGATTTTCCAAATGGTACCAGATTTATATTGATATCTTGTTTAAGCTTTCCATAAGACGGTGCCAGTTGTCTGCTCATAAAACGAATGCTGTCCGGGCAAAGGGATTCATACAAAATAGTGACATCAAGCTGATTTTAAATGAAATAGTATTTAATATTAAATATAAATATAAATTATTATGTTTACAATTGTATTTTGTACTTATGTAAATAATTTATCGAATGAGATCGTTCGTAAGCCCAAAATTTTATATACACATTTATGCCGCGTGAGTTTCACAAATTATACTCCAGGCAGGTTAATGCAATTTTATACGCCTTTCACACTGTAGATAAATGATTTATGTGTATCAAACTCTTCTAAAGTGGCCACGGTGGTCGAGTGCTTAGCATTGGGTACTGCCATTCGGAAGGCTCGGGTTCAAATCCCCATGCGACTAACATCCAAAGAAGTTATAGAAAATAAAAAATTAATTTAAATTTTCTAATTGAAGTCACCCCTGGCGGGTGACGTCAACACCTACGAATGTATATCCGACACGAAGTAAAGACTCTTCATAAGAAAACCGTTAGAATTCCAGAGGCGGCTTAGTATTATAGGTCCCTTCATTTGTTAGAAAAACATTAAGACGCAAAACCACACATTTGAGTTGAGCTCGGCCGAAAAATCGCTTCAACGATTACAAATAGCCAATTATGCCACGTATGTATATAAATATATAAACTCTTTTAAGATGTTAGAAATCTTATTCTTTTCTCATTTTTATCTTACGAGGCGAACGTTATAAGACCAATGTAATTTTCTATTTGATCATAAACGTTTCCCACCAACTTTGATGAGGTCAACAGTACAAGAGAATATTGGCCGAAAATCCTTTAAGCACTCAGAGAGCTGGTTAGTGTCGTACGGAGACTCAGCCTACATTGGACATACGTTGTATCTCTCGGCGTCAAGTCTGGATGGTTAGCAATTGTGTCTTCTACACTATTTAGACTTTAATTGTGAAAGTATTACTCGGGTCTCGCGAGGCAGCTAGAGCTGGTTATCTGCTATTTATGGAGTTGGATTGTAGAGTTGATGATAGCTCTCTGTGAATGACGTTTAGGACGGGAGTGTGGGCAATTGATCTTTAGGTTAAATACTCTCTTCCTGGTGATAGATATCTACATGGCTTAACCAGTATTACATTATACTTCTAAGCTAGGAGCATAGATGTTTCGCTTAGTTAGTTAGTTGAACGATTTGTCAGATTTTTCACATCAGGAGGTTTGCCGTTACGTTCTTTAAGGCGGCACTTGCAGCTTCTTCATCTGCGTCTCGCTGGTGCCCGGCGGCCAGATCGTGGCAGTCGGCCAAATGTCTTGTAAGCTTCTTTCGCTTTTCCCCAGAAGCTGTCGGTCACTGTTGAGAGTGATTACTTAGTAGTCTTAGATAATTTCATACCAATTAGGTTAAAGTAAAGGCACTGCTGTTGATTCGCCAATAATCACCCAAGTGGTGTCTACACCAATAAAGAAGATCGACAGATGTAGTTTAATGACGAGTTTTTTTCTGTTCACGTCAGAAAGGTTTTATGAACGATTTGTAAACCTTTGCGCATTGGCAACGCTGCCGACAATGGAAGGATGAACTGTACGAATTCAGTCTGAATAGAAGAAATCACTTCGGCTTTGAAAGTGTTAGATACACTACCACTCGGTGAAAGCGGAGGAAAAGAAAGATCTTCATATCGTTGGAAAGACCAGAATGAGAACGAACTCGCTTCACTTAGCTTCTCCAAATTGATGAAAAGAGGAAACGATTGAAGAAGAAAATTATAACCATTCAAGCGGTATTCGGCCTAGCTCCATGCCCATGTGTGCATCCTTCTTCGAATGACTGAGGTAATTTTATGAGGAGTTCTTTATACTCATGACAGAAATACGCTCGGAGAGTTCGAAATTCCCAGACGAGCAGTGATCAAAACCCTCCGCTAAGTAACACGAACTACTGCGCCGAGAAGTTTTAACCGATTAATCGTTTTTCGCCAATCTCCTTTACAATTTGAACTTTACCACCGCCGAATAGCTGAACTGTCGCATTAGCTGAGTGGTTAGCAGTATGTACTGCCATTCTCAAAGCCAGCATTCAAGTCAAATTATAGAAAATTAATTTTTCCAATTTCGGTCGCAACTCGGCTGGGAATACCAAGCCCTCCGAACATGTTTCTGACATGAAATAAAAGCTCTTCATAAAAAAACTACAATTTTTTGGGGGAAAAAATCAACACACACACAATTTAGAGCTCGACCGAAAATTCCTTCAGCGGTTACAATGCACCAAATACATATTTATTTTTGTCGTGTCAAAAAAAAATGCTAAAATTTCCCAAATTGGTCTGATCAGGATTCGAATTCATAACCTTCCGCATGATATTACGCACTGGTTTCCGCTCGATTACAGTGTGTCCGGAAATACAAGGTACTGTTTTGGTATTAACATTTCCTATGGTCTTCCATAATCGTGGATCGAATGTGACTACAAACCGATACCATCATATAATTCATATAAGAGACTTTTCACTCTTTTCATCTCCGCATTAACTAACCAGTTCGTTTTAAATCACCCTCAAGTTAATTGCATATCTTATTTATACTTTGAGACTTTTCCGTCCATACCTTGTTTGCGCCATCACTTTGTACACATTGGCCGCTTGTCGAGGCAGCGAATATGAATGGCAATAACAAAATCACGGATTTCGTTTCAATTTCGAACATTTTCGTCGTGTTTTTTTTTTATTTTATTTATTTTTTTGCGAATTCTTATTAGTTCAATTAACAAGTCAAATTTACATTCATACGTTTTGTGTTGTTATTTATAAATTTTATTTATTTTGTGTTTCACTCTTATTGCTACGTGTCCCGGACCAAGCACAGCGACTAAAAAAAAGTTGCAAAGCCAAAATTTAGTTCACGAAATCAACTGAAGAAACTCTGGCAGATTTGCTGAAGTTCTCATGTACTTTACTCTGGTTTAAATTAATTCAAACAGATGAAATCAAAATGGTATTGAACGTATTTATAGCGCTCGCGCACAACAACCAAGCTCACAGAGGTCTGCACGTTTCAACGGTGCACAAGAGAATGGACGTGAGTGACGGTAATTTCTTTATGGTCTCTCATGACCACAACAATAACAATATAAGCGCCAAGCGATGGCTAATAATCTGGCGCTTAAGCTTACCTCTACACGCCTTGTGCTTAAGCCGGTTTTGAAGGTGCAACCGATGGACGAATGTTTATTTGGAGGAAAATATGAGAATGTGTGCATACATACTCGTGTATGCATGCAAAAGTATGTACGAGTATGTGTAATATTTAATAAAATAGAGCAATATTTCGCATTAGCGCGACAGGTGAACGTGGGAAGAAATAATTTACAGTGGAGCACTCTTACGCTGGATATTCTCAAATGTGTAAAGCCGGGCCCAGACCACACTATTCCTGTTTGCTAAATCAAGTTAATATTAAAAGCTTTGATTTAATGATTATTCTAGTTTTTTTTTTGAGAGGCGGCCGCGGTAACCGAGTGCGTAATGCCATTCGGTAGGACAGGGTTCAAATCTTGGTTCGACCATGTTAGAGAAAATTTATTAAGTAAGGGAAGGCCAACCCAACCGAGTGTATTTCTGACATGAAATAAAGGCTCCTCATAGGTTCCTCCATTTGTTGAAAAAGCATCAAGACGCAGAACTACAAATTGGAGGAGGAGTTCAACCGAAAATCGCTTCAGCGGTTGCAAAGCGCCAAATAGTTCAGAAAAATCAGTCAGACAAATGTTCTAAAGATCTTCTAAATGAAGTATGTTTGTCCTTGATGTCTTTTTTATTTAGAGGCCTACTTAAATTTAATATTTTGAACATTTACAGAGATGTTCTGGCTAAGACACTGAATTATTTAAAAAACTAAATCTCCTTTCAAAGGTCTTGGCAGTGCTGAAGCAAAAAGAATTACGAAATAAGCTCCCTCTCTTTCACCATATGTGCTGAAAAGCTTCTTTCAAAGCAGATTGCAACTGACTGTCAAATGAGAAAAAATGAAATTTAACAAAAAAAGCACACTATCGGAGAAGATTGTCCCTACTTTGCTCCTATTATTTTCTCCAGCATAATAATAATATTGGGCGGCCGCGGTAGCCGAATGGATAGCTATTCGGAAGGCTCGGGCTCAAATCCCCGTGCGACCAACATCCAAAAGTTATAGAAAATTAAATTAATTAATTTCTGACTCTTCATAAAACAACCATCAGCCATTCGTAGGTGGCTTCGTATAAACTGTAGGTCCCTTTATTTATTGAAATAACATAAAGACGCAAAACCACACATTTGAGTTGAGCTCGGCCGAAAAATCGCTTCAACGGTAACAAAACGCCAATTATATAAGTATATATTAAATGGGAGAAACACACGATAAGGAATTTACTCGTCCAAAACATCGTTTTTTTTTCAAACGGCTCGGCAGGTCTCTTCCGTTCATGTCAGAGCTTTGAGTGTTGCTCAGCGTCTGTTTCGGTAGCCGTATAAGTTTTGCGAAGTTACTAAATTCAGACACAACGGCATAGAGGCAGGTGTTGACGGTGGCTTTTAGTCTTTCTTTTAGCATTAAGCTAAAATGGTTGACTGGGTTAATTTTTTACCAAACCATATTCGCAAAAATGTTGGCGAATTTTTCTCTTTTGGAGAGTAAAGCATCTTGGTGTCTGATTTACGCTAATTGCTAATTTTTACTGTTTTTTCCATGCGAAGACACTTCTTGTGCCGTTAGCAAACTACTTAATATCTTATTATCGAAGAGTTTACGCAAACTTTCTCTTTCAATCATGTGCAAACATACATATATAAATACATATGTAGGTACAGTAATATTCAATTTTCGCTTTTTTGTAAATAATAAGCTTACGTGTTTCAAATTTTACAATAGATCTTATTGTAAGCAATAAAATTCCACATATTATGTCATCTAAAGGTAAAGCGAATATTTTCACCTACGTCAGATCAAACAAGAACGCTTGGACCGATTTGTTTGTTTCTCTTGTTTTTAGGTTTCCTTCGTCCGCAGTAGGGAGATGGATCTAAGAACAATCTATTCTAAAAATTGTTGTTATAGCAAAGAACGTATATTAATAAGAAGGGAAAAGAACTGTGAACTGTTCATTGAAGTGGCTCAGGTTTCACAGACGGAGTGAGTCCGCTTTGGACCTTCTTTCGCAAATTATTGTAAATTCACCTCGAAGGGGTAGTCTTCTTATGTTCTCTCGGCATTTTTACGGCGACGATGATAACAAAAATGACAAGAAGGCAAATGATGCGAATTCAGTTTAAATTTATTATTATTTATTTTAAATAATTTTGCTTCCATATTTATTCGATGAAATAAATTAATTTTCATAATGAAATGAAATAGGGTGAAATCATAAACTTCATTATTGTATTTATATATATTTATATTATCCAATAGCAATAGCAAGTGACGATTTGCCGTCGGCATTCGAATAGCGTTGTTTTATAAGGAGGGTTATTTATGCATGAATTGTATTTTTATAAATTAATTAGATGTTTGGTTAATAATCTTATTAACTTATAAATCAATTTGTAGATACATATATACGTACGTATGTATGTACACACAATACAAAATAATGACCTGCCTCAAGAATTACATGTATATATGCATACATATGTACATATGTATTTATATTCGTATACTCATATGCAAAAACATACACACACATTATTTGCGTGAAAACAAATTACCCCATCCCTCAAAATACTTCTCTTGTCTAAAAGCTCAGAACTGAAATCAAATACAACAATAAGATTTTCATTCATAGACGCCTGCGCCCTACAACAAAGTTGCTTCTTCGCTGCGTTGACAAAAATCACAAAAAATCGGAAGCAAATTTGGTCGCGAAAAGTGAAGCAACAACAACGTACATTAGCCTGCCCTTCTTCCTTCAACGCGTAACATTCATGAGCCGTCCACAAGCATTGCTTCAAGTTCTTGCCACTGACAAAATTCAATCATCGCCTGCAGAAATGAAACAAATCGACATCGTGCTACTAGATTTTCTGTTTGCCTGTTAGCTCATATTGCCCAGCAAGCAATTTCCTTGCCTTCCCGCATGCACCTTGTCGACAAGTTGAATTGTGGCGAGGATTTCTATAATATTCTAAAACTTCCAGAAGATTCTAGAATATTCTAGAATATTTGATTTCAATGAAGAAAAGTAGAAAAGTAGTAAAAGCAACAAAAACAAGTAATGCATGCAAACCCCCTTTCCTTCAACTCTTCATCAACAAACAGTTAATTAATATACGTTCTTTGGTGTAATCTCGCTGTGGCACCTCACTATTCACCTTAGCAAAATTTTTCAAATTGGTTCACAGTTCTTTTCCCTTCTTATTAATATACGTTCTTTGTTAATATACGTTCTTTGGTTATAATATAAACAAAGCAGCCTTCTCCGTTTTCCTATGATTTATGGCTCTAAAACTGTGGAGTTAGCCAAAACTCAAACCAACATCAAATATTTAAGAACTAGCAGCGTCAAATCGTTCATTTGTTTCAATGCCTTTAGAGACATCTTGTGGAGATATGCTGTCTACAAGAGTAGGCTCCCGCACATTCTTTTCACATGACATTTATCTATTTTCCCTTTATCCAGCAACACATGGCCAGGAAGCAGAGAACGTAAATATAACGTTCTCTGAGCAGAGGAAACAAAAACAAGCCTTCAGGAGAAATAAGTTGAATTAAGTATAATTATATACTATTCTTGAATAAGGTAGATTATAAGTTAAATTTATTCATTGTTATTAAACAAACAGAAATAAAGCATCAATATGCCTAAAGTGAAATCTGAGAAGAAGACGCGGATACACCAGGAAGTGCAGAAGCAAGGTAAGTGCCATAGAAAGAACCCATCTAAAATGTAGTTCTAACACGCAAATATTTCTTACTTTCTAGGCATTGTCTTTAACAAAGACTTTGGCCAACATATTTTAAAAAATCCACTTGTTATACAAAGTATGCTGGAAAAAGCCGCGCTCCGTAACACAGACACCGTTTTAGAAATCGGTCCTGGTACCGGTAACATGACCGTGCGTATGCTGGAGCGTGCCAAAAAGGTGATTGCTTGTGAAATCGACACACGTTTAGCAGCTGAGTTGCAAAAACGTGTGCAAGCCACACCACTACAACCTAAATTGCAAGTTCTCATTGGTGATTTCCTCAAAGCAGAACTACCGTTTTTTGATCTATGTATTGCCAACGTGCCATATCAAATAAGTTCGCCCTTAATATTCAAATTGCTGTTACATCGACCACTATTTCGATGTGCTGTGCTAATGTTTCAGCGGGAATTCGCACAACGTTTAGTAGCCAAACCCGGCGATAAACTCTATTGTCGCCTAAGCATCAATACTCAATTGTTAGCACGCGTCGACATGTTAATGAAAGTTGGAAAGAATAATTTCAAACCACCGCCAAAAGTTGAATCGAGCGTGGTAAGGCTGGAGCCAAAAAATCCACCTCCACCGGTCAATTTTACCGAATGGGATGGTCTAACGCGTATAGCGTTTCTGAGAAAAAATAAGACATTGGGTGCTGCGTTCAAAATAAATTCGGTTATCGAGATGTTGGAAAAAAATTACAAGTTACACCTGTCGCTGCATAACAAAGTAAGTGTGTATGTTGTAAAAAACTCAAATTGGTAAATAATTTTTTTTTTTGTGTACTTTAGCCTCTCGAGCCTGATTTTAATATGCAAGCCAAAGTTATTGGAATTTTGGAAAAGTTGGAAATGGAAAATTTGCGTGCGCGTTCAATGGACTTGGATGACTTCATGAAACTACTTTTGGCTTTCAATTCTGAAGGCATACATTTTAATTAATAGGAATTCAATAAATTTGTAAATACTTATTTTTAATGGCTATAGTCAATAGGAAGTTTTAATAAAAATACGTCTAAGCATCAAAATTAGCATAGGCAACATACATACATAGACTGTATGTATTTGCTGCCGACACGATGCTCGTTCGCACACGTAACTAAATTAAAAATTCAACTGATTTTGATACATTTATTTGAGCGAAAGGTCAGTACATATTTGATAAATATGTTAATGTTCATTGTATTTATGATATCGATTTTTTATATGTATATAATTAATATTATATATGTACTATTTATATTGTTGTGTAATTACAATTACATATTTTAAATGATAATACAGGAACAGAAAAAATGGAAACGGAAATTGTCTAAGAGGATTCGAAGTTTAAAAAATACAATTTCATACATAGTTCAACACACATACAATGATGGTTAAAATATATACTTTAAAACTATTACTTTTTACACGAAAAATGTTAGTAGCAGTGCAATATGTTTTATCCAATATACATTTTTGTTCAAATATATCTGATGATTAATGTTTTCATTTCCATACAATTTCAACCACCATTAATTCTTATGAATACTTTTATTACGTGTGGCGAAAACCCAGTGATTATTGGCGCAAAATCAAATTAAATTCACTTTTCTAAATAATTAAGTAAATTACAATGAAAAATTGAAATTAAAATGTTTCAAAAACTAAAATTTCAAAATTACTGACTTCTTTATTCGCACTTCAGCTACAAATATTTTTCACTTAGTCATGAAATAAAAATGAAGGCATGCACGATTTGAAAATTACTCAAGAATTATACTAATATATATGTTAACAAACAAATGAAAATCAAGAAAACAAAAACACCCACAATACATACGTTCACCATATTCCACTCGGTTTTCTATAAGCTAAAAAAATTATTCCATATTCTTAAAACATTTCATATTTCGTTATTGCTTACGGAATTGTCTTTGATATTTCAAATGGCCGTAAGTGAAATGTATATATATACATACATATGTGAATCAGTGTGATAAATTGCACATAGCATATAGCCGATAAGTTGCTATATAACTGTACTCAACACGTAAGTCAACTAATTAAGAAAACTTAAAATGTCTTGCTGCGATAAAGTATTCAAATTTTTATTATCCTGTGCTTGCTGCTGTGCTGTCTTCTGTTGGGGTAACAGTGGCGTTAAATTATTCATATTCATGTTTTTCAGATTATTGCCATTGCTTAAGCCAGCACTACCACCGCCATTATATCCAGTTGGATAAATATAATTTACTGCAGGTCGTTGTTGCTTACTGGTACCGGCAATATTAGAACTATTCCCAAATGGATCCAAATTATCCAATGATGAATTATTATTGCTACTGCTATTAGCAGCTTGTGGCGATGCGAGTTGATGATTCATTACTAATGGATTGGCGCTGTGCCAATTGTTAGTCCAGCTATCATTTGATCGCGATTGTTTCTGATTAGTCAAATTGTTGCCACTGCTACCTCCTAAAGCGTAAGGATTCACAATTGGTGACACTGCAGTACCAATGGGAGCTGCGCTAGACTTTGGCGATGAATTACTACTCAAATTTGTAAGATTCGAATTCATCAAGGAGGAAAGGATGTCAGGTTTGGGTGCTGCGCTGTGGGATATTCTGAATAGAGTGGAAAAATTTTTTATTATCTCCAGTATTATCCTTTCTTTGTTTATTACTTACTTAAGTGAATCGTTGATCGTTTTATGCTTTTGCTGTTGACTTGGAGGTGTAGTTGAGCTTAACTTCTTCGTAGACTGCGAAATGGAGAAACCAGAAAACATGTCATCATCACTGTTACTATTAAGACTGGTATTCGTTTTAGAATCCTTCTGTTCCAACTCTGTTGTCAAAATCTCAGCAGCATCACGTGGCCTATGAGATTATTATAATTAAAAATCAAGACGTTCTGTTAAATATGAAGCCATTTATCAAAGTATTCAAGTAAAATAAAAGGCATTGTCTGCCGAGGAGCATGGATGTACGGATTTCTAAACAAATTAGATATACTTTCGAACATACATACATATAATGACTATATAAGGATTTCCTTCACGCTAAACCCACACAATCAGATTTTTTAAAAGTCTCCGAGTTGTATCTCGGATATGTACAAAACTCACTTGTTTTCTCTTTGAATGGTTGACAGTTGCTCCAACTTCTCACGTTGTTCCTTTTCCACGCGACTAAACATTTCCTTAATCAATGTCACAATAGTGTTGAATTGTGCAATTGTTAGGCCGTTCTCCACGCTCAGTGGCATCAAAAACGGTATACATTTATGCGCCATCACATCTTTAGTTATGCCCAACTTAGTGTTTGTCATGGCAATTTTATATATACCAATTATAGCCATTATAATGGCAGGTTCACGACTTTGTATCTGCTGCAAGAAGGGTAATATTTCATCGAGCACCAACCACTTGTCTAAGTCCTCTAGAAGTTTACCAATTGATATTAAACAGTTTACTTTTACCGACACGTTGGTGCTGGTAAGGCAAAGTTTTTTAATTCGCGGTATCACAGCATTTTTCATGGCGTTGTAATCGATCAAATTGGAAAAGGTAGGTAACACAGCCAAACACAACTCTTGAATTTGCGGCATATCACATTCCAATGAGCGATAAAGCAAAGGTAGTACATGTAATTTTACCTCTTCCGCAGGTGTTAACTTCAAAAGGAGATCCATTTTTTGCATGAAAATTAGTAAGATTTGTATAGGGTCGGTCAATTTGAAAATTGGTTTAAGATGTGGAAGAATATGCTCGCAATACTCTTTTTGACTACTCAGTTCAGCAATTAATAGCACATTGGGTAAAACGAACGGTATCATTGGTGAATTTATAAATTCCTTTACCAGATATGGTAATATGGAATGTAAATTAACGCGATGTGGTAAAGTTGGTATAATTTGTGGAAGACCTTTATAGAATTTAGATTTTTGTAAATTATCCCATTGATATAAGGAATCTAAGTAGCTCAGGGTCTTAACGCCAACATCTTGGAAATAAGCGATCTGTGATATGAAAGAAGTGAAACATATTTAAATTGAAATGCCCATTGCGGTAGCTATTTTTACCTGTTTCAATTCGTGTAATGGTGAGCGCATGTGTGGGCTAGGATGTAATAATGATCTTAAGCTTTCAAGCATTTCATTTGGAATACAATTCATTGGCGGATATTTTCGTTGGTTAAGATCGGCAGCGTACCGACGAAATGTGCTATAATCACTTCCAAACGATTTTAACGGTTTCCCCGAATAGATTGTGAATATTAATACACCTTAAACAAAGAGACACTTAGTTAATTTATATACACAAAAATCATAATAGTTTACCTAATGAAAATAAGTCACTTTCGGTGCTATTTATAGTATTCAACGCTATTTCCGGTGCACAATACTCCAAACTTGGCTGTGCTAATACATGCACTGATGTGGAATATTCACGACATGGCCAAAAGGGTTTACCATCAACTGCTGGCTGATTAGCAATGCAAAAGTCAAACCCAAATAACTTCCAACTACGATTTTTATTAATCACAATTGTCTCTGCGCAAATATTACGGTGTACGATTTTGGCATCATTATGAAGAAAAGATAAGCCATCAAAAAGTTGCAAAAGACCATGACGTATTTCCACATCATAGAGCTTTTTATCCGAGCGTACTTGATCTCCAACTACATTTGCCAAAGATGCGAAAACGGGCTCTGTGGCAAATGCCAAAGAATCGCGTGACTCCTCTAACGGATGCTGCACTGTCAATACATGGGGATGTCGTATTTTTGTCAATTGCTGCACTCCACGTCTTAGTGTTTCCAACATTGTTTCCCTATCATCTTTTGACCAACGCTCCAATAATTTCTTTTCAAATACAAATACAGACACTTCCTGTTTTGTGCTCTTTTTATAGCCATTGTAGACTTTCCACATGAGCCCTAAATAACACTAAAGCTTGTAAGCAGTTCAGTTATTTATTTGAAATTAGTTACTCACCAACGCCAGCTGTACACACCTGCTCTAATACTTCATATTCTCGGGTGACATTATTTCCTGGTAAGACTCCAGACAGCTGTGACACCGTTGTATGAACTGTTGAGTAAAACTTATTTATCACATCCATTGCCATATTCGATACAAGAAATAATTAATCTATTAAGGACGTAATTGTCTTCTAATGAAATTGGAAAATAACGTATTGGAATTTTAGCCTTATTTCGTAAAGGAATAAGAAATTTTTTTCCTGATGTCGACGAAATCTTTTGTTGTCTACTTTCTTTTCTTTTTCGTAAATTAGTAATCGATAAGGAAAGGTGTATTCAGAAAAAAATTTAAGAGTTGCCAAATTGTACAAAATAACTTTTTTATATTCTAAAAGCATTGACGGCAACCTCTTTTCAGTAATTCTCCATATTTTTAAACAATAGTAAAATTGATATAAATGCGATTAAGAAACCAGTTGATTCTACTTAACGTAATGAGGACCCTGCGGGTTAGGGGCTTAAGAATTTACCCGTGGTAAGGCATGCCTGTCGTAAGAGGCGACTAAAATCCAATAGTTCCCGCGACAGTTGGGTCGTTATACCGGAACGACCCGGATTTTTATCCGGCCATGGACTGTCACTCCCGCAACATTCCCCGAAAACCAATTCGGGGAATAATTTGCGGTTACAACAACAACAACATCTTAACGTAATGACGCTAAGGTTTTTACATATTTCACTTATTTATATCAAACCGAAAATTTTTCTGCATGTTCTAATTAAAGCAGCCTCGTGTTAGCTCTAATATATATAGTGTACTCTGCCCAACCCCTCACAGTTTGTCTGCGCCAACTATAGCGGTATAAATCTTCTCAATATATCGAATAAAGTCAAATCATTGTGCAAAATATTGGAAATAATTCGTGGTAAGAATATTGTTACGATTTTACTGAATCAACNGTATAAAGACCCGACTGTCGCGAGAACTATTGGATTTTAGTCGCCTCTTACGACAGGCATGCCTTACTGCGGGTAAATTCTTGAGCCCCTAACCCGCAGGGGAGGGGAAAGGTTTTTGTCACCAGAATGGGTTTCCCTGATCTTATATGACGATCGCTCGGTCTGGCCAGGATATTGATGACTTATGTATGAAAGTAAACTATCTCGATGACCTTTCCCACCACTTCACTGCAAGACAATTGGTTAGTTATTTTCCAGGGAGAGGTTTCGCGGTAGATTTATGGTCGGATTGGCAGACGCCAATAAATAATAACGAGCATATAATAAAAAATAACACCAGCTTTATTAAGGTTTCCATGTCAATATATGTACATCAACACCATCTGAAATTGCAAAATGCAACGAACATTTAAGCCATTTTATTTATTTTTTATTAAATACACCTGTAAAATTCCATTATTTATTACAATTAAGTATTTTAGAGTAAAGTACATAATTAATCAACAATACAATCAAAAAAAAAAATTTAAATTCGCGTAGATATTTACCGTTATCATAAAATTCATGAAATCACGCGGAACAAAAGTTTAAATACAATAAATATTAGTTCATATTTCGACTAAATTAAACTAAAAATAATGGGGTTTAAAACAATTTTAATATTTATTGGCCCACCTCAGCCCTTAAACGACGTGGGGTAGATAAAACCAAATTTTCCATTTCAGACTATACCTTTTTCAGATACTCTTCCAAGGCTTATTTGCTGGTTGACGCCGCCATAGCAATTTTTCGTGCCAATAACTCCCAAATATGCTCATTGGGATTCAAATCTGATGATTGCGGCGGACTATAAAGCTGTCGAGGAGTATTATACCATAGTCATTCGTTCTCCAAACCCAATGTATGGTTAGGTCCGTTGCCTTGTTGAAATATCTACGAGCTGCCGAGACCCAAGGAAGACTGCCAATGTTGATCCAAAATAATTTTGTAAACATATTATTCCATCGATAAACGTTAAATGTTCTACGCCAGTTGCTCCAATCGCTAGCCAAACCTTGACGCTATCTCCACCGTGCTTAACGGTTTGTATTAAATTTTGGGTTTGATAAGCTGTCATTGCTTTACGCCAAATTTTTACGCAGCCAACGCTTCAGAACACGTTAAATTTCGAATCGCCCGTGAACATTGGTCTTCTCCAAAAGAGTTCATACGTATCCTTGTATTTATTTGCAAATTAAAGACGAAGTTGCTTATTTTTCTCAGATAGTAGAGGCGTTTTACGTGGAACTCTGTTTCGATAGCTATCTTCCTGTAAAGTTTTTGCTATAGTTTTTGGGCGTACATTTTCGCCCGATATTTTAGTGATGCTGTCGGCTATCTTTGGAGCACTTATTTTAGTACTTTTTGTCACTTTCTTGGTAATAAATCTAACATCCCGCCAGGTTACTTTCCTTGGAAAGATTTTCATTCATGAAAATGTTTAATTATTAAGTTTTTAACACCACCCTCTAACTGTTTTTCTTTACCCATTTTTTTTACTTTGCATTCACTGCTGGAGAAGAAGTCGCATCTATTACCGGGTAAATGTGTATAAGTTGCCAAATCATTGAATATAACGGTACTTTATTTCTAAAGAACTTGCAAAGCACATGCGATGGGTATTTTTCTTTGGTTGTATTTCAGGTTTTTAATGAATTGTTAATTGATTATCTCCTTTATATTTAATGCATTTAAATATATTTAATGCATTTAAATGACAATATCATAAATCAGCTGAATTCATAAACTAAATAACGACAACGGTTGATCGTCTTTTGCTCACACTCCAGCTTGAATAAATTACTGCAGCCTTTGATTATCACTTTGGCCTTAAAAATATCAATGTTAGGGTAAATGTATTACAAAGTTAATAATTGATTTGAATAAACTTACCATCGCATCGCTGAAGCCTAATTTATTTTCATAAAAGTTGAAGGTGATTGGTTTTGTGCGATTCTGAATAACTTCTTTTACATCTAGGCAAGGGTTAGAGCCAAAGCTAATAAAGCAATCTTCCAAACTTATTTCATCCAAATGTGCGGAAACCAAAAACAATTTCTGGAATTCTTGCTCACTGCGCACATAGCAAGCATGAAAGTGAAGTACACGCAGATTCGTTAGTAAAGAGATATGCAGAAGCATATCTGAAAATGCCTGCGGGTCGAAGGCTAGCTTTAAGCGCTTCAAATGCATGTGTAAACCCAAATCAATAACTTTAGGAAGTATTGCTGTGATATCACGTGTACTAATTGCTTCAATTTGATGTGTATTGTGTAGCTCCACTAGCTTAATATGTAGTGCATTCAAATTAGATGTTGAATACAAATCACTGATATGGAGCTCCTTTAAATGTCGCAAGTTCTCTAATCGAGGTGTGAAATAACACAGTTCATAGGAATTCAGTACCAAAACTCTTAACATGCAGTTAAGTGGTATACTTTCTTCTGAGAATGGCAAATGAATTTGAAAACTTTTTAATACTAATGTATGCAATGGAAGTTCTCGGAGTATTTGCTCTAAATATTCAAAACGAAAACTGTAACAGGAACAAAGCGTTAATTGTTCTAATTGGTTCCACAAATTGAAACCTGCACCGCTAAATTTTCCTACTGGTTGCAGATCTTTTATATTAGGGAAAATATCATGCAATTTAGCTACAAATTCACACCCTAACATTTCAGAACTTTCAATCGAAACGTAAAGCTTATGCGTTCTAATGAATCGGATGCCATGTAACGCTTCAAGAATATTTTTTGAATTACTTTCAATTCGTAGCTGTTCGACATATTGGTGAACATTGTCTAGAAAAAATTTCTTTTCTTTTAATTCCAACGGCACATTAGAGTTCAACTGAAGAAAAAGTTTTTTATATTTTGCCCTCCATATATTACTAAGCACTTCAACGAAAGAATTACTTGCATTTAATAAGGCTACTTGATCCCTCAATTGCAGATATTGAAATATTTGGTACAGACAATCTTCATTTAGCAAATCCATTACTGACTACTTTAAACTTTAATCCAAAAGGAAGTCTCCATACAATTGTTGACAATACTCCCTTTAACAAATTATTCCGCACTTTCTTACTTTTGTGTAGTTCATTAGCATTGTATGATAACAAACCCAAGAAACTTAAACTCAACTACAATCGCGAATAATCAACAAAAACTACAATTAATTAAAATTCTAAAATTTAAGTGAGTAACTTTGCCTTGGTTCAAATTTGAATTGCATATTATTTAAAAATGTTTTCTTTCAGTTTTTCACTTCTCCTCAGCTGTTAGTGGAATATTGCCAAGCTGCTAAAATTTGGTATATATTTTTTTATTTTTTTAATTCGGCCTTCCAAAGAACGAAAACTCTATTATACTGTTTTGCACACAAACTGGCCCTAAATCCAAAATATCATCCTTCGAAACAACAGCACCTCCCTCTCTTTATAATTCCTAATCATTGATGTCGAGCTTCTTTATCATACCCCCCCTAAATCATCTTTTAATATTAAATCAAATTTATGTTTGGGTATGTTGCCAACATATGTATATGCATAGGTATCTGATATACACCTATTTACACATATTTACATATGTATATATACATTGGCTCAAAAATGAACTCGGACACACAAGTTATATGACTTAAAACAAAAAAAAAATATATAAAAAAAAATGCAAATCGAGGGCTTTCTGTTTAACATATATTTCTACAAGTGTATTTTTCATCATAAACTAAATTCAACTCGGTCGTATAAAAATAATATGAACATAACAACTTAACAAACCTGATACAAAAAAGAACTTAGACATATACATAAGATAGAATTTAAAAATATTATTTAAAGAGAAACAAAATATTTTTAATATTTGGTCGGCAAGCCTTTACTTTTTCTGATAGCATTCAGTCTTCTTGGCAAAGATTCAACTAGCTTCTTGCATGTTAAAGAATTTATTTTCCTCCACTCTTCCGAAATAGCGGCTTCTAGGTCTTTCTTATTTCTAATAACATGCATTTTCAGTTTATTTTCCAAATGAGCCCACAGATGTTTAATTACGTTAATGTCGGGATGTTGAGAAGGTGTTTCAAGCACTTTAGGACAGTTATACATCAGCCATAGACGGACATCAAGTGCTTTATGCTTGGGATCGTTGTCTTGGTAGTACTGGAAATTGTCTTTAATACCCAACTTTTCCGCACTTTGCACTAAATTTTTCTTTAAAATGGTCAGATATTGCTTGTGGTCAATATTACCTTTTATGAAACACAAATTTCCAGTACCAGCTGCGGACATACAACCCCATACTATTACTGAGCCGCTCCCGTGTTTAAGAGCCGGCCGTAAATTCTTTTCTAGCAACTCTTTATTCGGTTTTCTCCAAACATACGACTGTCCATCTGACCTAAATATATTAAATTTGCTTTCATCTGCAAATAAACTTGTTTCCAGCATTGAAAATCTTTATCCCCATGGCATTTTGAAAATTTTATCCATTTGTTACGGTTAACGTTTATAAATGGTTTCTTCCGTGCTACTCTTCCATTACAATTATTTTTTCGTAAGACTATTCGGATACTCTCCGGATTACAATTTGTATTGAGATGTTTTATTTGGCTCATCTGCAGCCAAAAAACAACTTCGGTTGTTATTGTTGTTGTTGTTATAGCGGTTCACTAACCCCGCTTAGGCACAGGTTTGATCAGTCGAAGTCGCCGAGGTCATCTAATGGTAGGTCCAAGAAACGAGCTGTTTCGACGGGGTTGGACCAAAGGGAGATGGGGGTTAGATGAGTTGGTTTGAGGGGGCATGTGAAGAAGTGGTTAGTGTGGTCGGGAGATTCTCCACATGTAGGGCATACGTTGGGTATGCTGGGGTCTGGTCTGGATAGGTAGAAGTTTAACCTGCTACAATATCCAGACCTGAGTTGTGTCAGGGTCACGCGGGTCTCTCGAGGCAGCTCGAGCTCGTTGTCTGCTATAGGCGGTGGTATTTCTCCGAGTACGCCATTCTCTGGAAGGGAGTCCTTGAAGGTGTTGACTGACTCCTGGTAACAACAACTCTCACGACAGCCGGTTTTACGCACCGGAGTTGACACGGATTTTATCCGGCCAAGGGCTGTCACCCTTTCGGCGACCTAACCCCGTTTAGGTCAACAGGTAACAACTTCGGTCGTCCAGAGTTCTTTTTGTTTTCCACGGATTTTGTTTGTTTGAATCGTTTGATCACGTGATGCACAGTCGAGCGTGGTCTGCTCACAATTTCTGCGATTTTCCGAATGGTTTTTGCTATTTCAAAATGACTAATAATTAACTTCCTTACATCATTTGAACTTTGTCCACGCTGTCTACCCATGTTTTAACTTTTCACCTTTTTTTTTCCAAAAAAAAACTACTGAAATTTGATTATATACATAAGTATTTTTAAACGAAAACAAACTAATTGTGGTATTCCCCTTTTTAAAATGCCAAGAAACTGTAATATTACCAGATGTCCGACTTCTTTTTTGGCGAAATTTCTAGCATGCCACATGTTAATTTTTTGAAGTATGGGTATAGGAGACCTATAAACTATTTAATTTGTTTGTTATTGGTATTTTTTAAATCCTTATTGGATATCCTATAAAAACATAAAAAACAAAATGCTTAATATCAACAGGTTAAAAAAAGTCTAGCTCGAAGTTGCATGTTAATAACAGTGGAATGTACGTGTATGTCCGAGTTTTTTATTGAGCCACTGTATTTACTATCTATTCCTCACTTAACACTTCATTTGAGACGTTTAATTCATAATTAGATTAACTCCGCGTAACAACAAAAACAATAGCAACAAGTTCTATAATATATAAACTAAAGGCTTTTTAAATTTAAGTTAATGTATGCATTGCAGAACACATTGACTACCGATTTACATACATATATGTTCGTACATATATACATATGGGCATAACTTATTACAATTCCAGTTTACTCACCTAGGTTCACTGTGGGTACGGCTTTTTTCTTTAGCTGTTTTCTGCCCATAGCCTCCACTTCAAAGTGGCTATCGCAAACATATACTAATTTGGGCAGCGGATCGCTTAACCTCATATTCTCCTTCCACTTCTTCGAAAGTTCCTCATTTTTGGGAAGTTGGTGGAACTTAGATGCTCGATTCCTTACGGTATTCTTTCCACATCCGGGCACAAAACACTTGCGGTCAACTGGCATATTGTTTTACAAGATTAAGAATTATTAAGAAGATTATGCTTTTGCAAAAAGCGCCAAGAACAACTTGGTAAAATTTCAATTTTCACTACACTGACTTTGCTGATTTTGGCGCATTTCCACTCACATAATAGAAAAAATGTGGGAGAAGTGAACTTTCTCCTAATTTCAGGAAAAAATCACTCTCACTTCAAGAAATTCCTGATGACAACAAAACGCTTATACACTTACATATAAAAATAAAGATTTTAGTTATAACTAATGCATATTATATGTAATGAGCACATTGGTTTCGGAAAATATGCGCAATTAACTCTGTTCAATTAATTCATCAATCACTTTTTTCACAAATTTACTCATAGTAAAAGTATTTCTTTAACTATTAAACCACAATTCACAAATCGCCGAAGTGCATAAAACTTTTAATATTCTAAATTGTAATTCTAAAATTCTTTAGCAAATTATATTCCAAATGTCGACAGAAAACGAAAGAAAAATTATCACGAAAACACATTTTCATATCCATGTAAATGTTTAAAACTCCTATTACTTCTTTATTTCCATATTAATGCCTTTACATAGACAATTTTTTAGTAATGACCCGACCTATTTTCACTTTATTATTATTTATGTTTTAAAAAGCACTGTTTTCACTTTTTTTGCTAATTCAACCGGCTCTTATTTGTTTTGGTACGATATTTCGTTTCGCCGTCATAATTGGCTTTGTACAAGGCTAGGATTGCACAATAATAATTGCTCCGGTATGCTACGAAAGTTTTCAAATTGGTTCTCAGTTCTTTTCCCTTCCTACTAATAAGTCTTGGAAAGGAATTGGAGCAACCATCAACAAAGGTAGAAGAATAGAATTTTCGCACATATACATGACAGAGAATGTATTTACGTTCTCTGTACATGACTGGGTGCAATGTCATAAATGAAGGTCATCATTCTCCGAAGGGTGGATGCACAGGATGCACGTATATCTGAGAAGTCATTGCAGGTTTCATCAATCTGCAAGACCAGAATGCCATTACTTTATAACTTCACTACAATTTGGTCAAGGACCGCGCAGATTTCAAAGAAAAAAGCATAAAATCGAAAAACATCGTGAGAAAATAAAGGTACTAATTAAGAAAAAACTGAGAGGAAAGCCAGCGAGAAAGATCGATTCCGAAATATGCTGTTTAATCGTGCAACTGCTTCGTCGAACGCTTTCAATGTAAAAACATCATCCTTTGATGGTCCTTAATCCTTTCCAGGTGATTAAGCTCCAATTCGAAAATATGGTACTTGCTTAGGAGAGTGAGCAGCTTGGCCTATAAGGAAAGCCTTGGAGAATACCTCAAAAGAAAAAAATGCAGAATTTTATCAGCGGAATAAAAGACATACATATACACGAAACGACAGACGTTTGCGAATCAAAATTTGCAGAAACGGCGGCACTTCTAAATAGGTTAGCCTACCCAGCGAACCGTATATAAGAGGAAAGTTCAGATATTATGAAAGAGATATTAGAAATATTGAAATTCATCAAGCGAAAAAGGTGTACAGTGAGACAGTCACAAAGGTCGGGGCAAGGAAGTGCTATAGCTGTAGAAAACCAGGAAACTTCACCTGTAACTGTAAGATGAGCATCCATAGAAAACGGGAACGTAAAGCTGCATAAGAATGCCTCATTATAATCTCCGTCTCGCAAATTGATAGAAAAGCGAGCAAAGTTACAATTCGTGGATACACGGAAAGACATGATCGAATACTTACCGTGAAAATGGGCCCATTGCTCTCCATAAACAAATTAATAAAAAATTTTAATTTTTTGTCAATATTTTCTTCTTATCCTCGGGAATTATTTAAAAATCTGACTTCTGACACCAATTACAATTCTAACACTGTAAACACACAACTTAACTCTATACAAATGTTGTCGCCACCAATATATCTCATCACTTGCTAGTACTCAGTTGTAAAAGTTTCCGGCATGCTCTTACAATAACCACAATAACAGAATACTCGATTCTCGCACAGTAGAATGTGCTCTAGTTATCCTTTTCGTCTGTAATAAAAAATTATTTTTTACTTTTAGAGAATGCCATGGCAACCTTTTTTGTGGGAGCCAAAGCTTGACAGCATTGTTTTTTTGTTTACCGTCACTTTATTGCAATTGCAATATTAATTTTGCTTCTTGCTGTTTGATAGATTTTTAATTGTATAAAATTTATTGTTTTCCTTCTTAACAAAAAAAAACTTTTGTGAAATAGTTTCGGTGTAATAATGGCATCTAATGTAAAACCTGGTGTAAGTATTTTTAGAGCAGTACGTCAGCTTATTAGCGAAAGTATTACCATTTCCCTTACAGACTAGCTCGGCTAGCACCAGCGGTTCAACGTCATCCACGTCGACACCAGCCCCACCAACTAACATACAGGAATTCAATATCAGAGTACCTAAGAATTTACGAAAAAAGCATCACGTTATGCGCTTTAATGCCACATTAAACGTTGACTTTGCTCAATGGCGGGGCGTAAAAATGGAGCGCGAAAATAATATGAAAGAATTTCGTGGGATGGATGAAGATATGCCAAAGTTCGGTGCAGGCTCAGAATATAACCGTGACCTTAGGGAGGAAGTGCGTCGTAAAAAGTTTGGCATAATTGCCAAAAGATATAGGCCTGAGGCACAACCCTGGATATTAAAAGTTGGAGGGAAAAATGGTAAAAAGTTTAAGGGAATTCGTGAAGGTGGCGTTAGTGAAAACGCTGCCTTCTATGTATTCACTCATGCTCCAGATGGTGCGATAGAGGCATATCCTTTAAATGAATGGTATAATTTCCAACCAATTCAACGTTATAAATCGTTATCCGCTGAAGAGGCTGAACAAGAATTCGGACGAAGGAAGAAAGTAATGAATTACTTCTCTCTTATGTTGCGTAAGCGTTTGAAAGGTGACGAGGAAGAGGAACAGGATCCCGAGGAGGTGAAATTAAAAGGTGCAGCTAAAAAACCGAAAGAATTAAAGATCAGCGAAATGGATGAATGGATAGATTCTGATGAAGAATCAGATTCCGATGAAGATGAAGAAAAAAAGAAAAAAGAGGAGGACAGTGATGACGGTGATGGAAAGAAAAAAGGTAAAAAGGGTCAACCGAAAAAGCCAAAGAAAAAACGAGATGTAGACGATGAAGCTTTCGAAGAATCGGATGATGGAGATGAAGAAGGGCGTGAAATGGACTACGACACAGAGTCTAGCGAAGAGTATGTTACTTATATGATCTTGATTGGAGGAAATATTAATCCTCCTTTTTTTATTAACATTAAGTGAACCCGACCCAGAATCAAAATTGGATAAGGATATGAAATCTGTAGCCGAAGAGGATGCCTTGCGCAAATTACTGACATCTGATGAAGAAGACGAAGACGAGGAGAAGAAATCTGATGAATCGGATAAGGAAAAGGACAAAAATAAAGAAGAAGGAGGCAATAAAGAAAAAAAGAAAACGAAGAAAGTTTCAAAAGAGGAAAAGAAAGGTATAAAGAGAAGTAAACAAAAGCATAGTCTATAATTTTTTTAATGACTTTTCATATAGATTCTTCCAGTGATTTTAGTTCGGACAGCAGTGATTCGGAAGAAGAAAGTGCCAATAGCAAGAAAAAAATCAAGGAAACACCGAATAACAAAAGCGCAGGTAATAATAATTCTCGTTCTGCAACACCCACAAATCCAACAACGAACAGCGCCACCAAACGTAAGGTCAACAATAGCATGCCAAGCGATTTGACAGCTTCAGAAAACAGCAACAGCCCAGTAAGCACCCCGGCAAAACGTACGAAAACTGAGGGGGCGCCCATGGTACCATCTACCTTCGCCGGAGTAGTAAATGCTAACAATAAAGAGTGAGTAATTTTTAAGCGATTTTAAAAATGACATTACTTATAAATCTTTTATTTTTAGTGACTATGGCATTACCGAGGAAGCCGTTCGACGTTATTTAATGCGAAAGCCCATGACACCAACAGAACTGTTAACGAAGTTTAAAAACAAGAAGACTGGAGTTTCCAGCGATCGGTTGGTGGAAACAATGACTCAAATATTGAAGAAGATCAATCCTGTTAAACAGACCATACAAAACAAAATGTACTTGAGCATCAAGCCAACAAAGTAATAATGGTGCAATTGTCAAAGTCTTGATGTACGGATTTAATCAAATGCGCGATGTATTGGATATGAAACTGTTTTTAGTTGTTTTATGCAATGTTTCTAGCTCTAAAATAAACATACGTTAATTAAAAAAAGTTTTATAATCAAATAAATAACTAAAATATGCATTCAAGGAATTTTATTTACAAGCCTTCGTAAAAACCAGTTCCAAGAAAATTGACCCAAAGAACTGACACCAGAAATTTTATTTGATTTGACATCTCTGTTTTGCATATTTTTATTGTGACTATCTCCATATTGTGAACAGTCGTTTGAGTAAGAACAAACATAAAATTCTTTGCCTTTTGTCGTAAGAAACAGTTGATTTTGAGTAAATTTTAATAATTCTTTTAGAGATAAAAAGCGTCGTTGTGTTAATAAATTCAGTCAGAATGACGTAAAGAATATTTTCAAATAGAAAAATTGTGTATTTTTGCAAAATATTAATTTTGAATATAAATTCACGTGAAAAGTGAACGTACCCGCAACCACACATATATTTATTTTTATCGGCTGTGTACGCAGAGAACGAAAATAAAATAGTTGTATTTACGTTCTCTGCTGCGATTACGCGAGGGTGAAGCGATTAAAGATAAAAGCAAACTTATAGAGTGAATGATAAAACAACAATAAAGCAACCCCGAAAAAAATAAAGAAAGGTAAGTGAAGTGAGAACAACTGACCAGCTGCGAATTACGAAAAAATAAGCCAGAAAGGCGTTTTTCCATTTTGAAAGGAAAAAGAAAGTGAAAAATATTAAAATCATTAAATTCCAAATGTCAAAAGTATAAAGAGGAGATAAAAGGGAACTTTTGAGACCATTCAGAGACATAAAAATTGCAATTTTGCTTAGTAAGTAAAACACAAACGCATATCGACTTTAAAATTTATCCATATGTGAACGGGGACATTGACTAAGCCAAAAAAACTATTTTTCTATTGTTTACTGTGTAAACGTAATGAAATACAGCAATATATATTTTTTTTTTTGTAAAAAATGTTTAATCTCTCTTTCTTATTTTTCATTGCAAATATACGGCGCATTAAAAGTGGTTTTTAAGGCACGTCTGCGAAATACTTTACTTTGTTACTTGCAGCTTACAGTAGAAAACGCTTAAGGCTATAAAGTCGCTTCTAACTCGAAAAGTAATTTATTGGAACAGTTTTCTATGTAAAAATATCATCATGAAATATTGTAAAACGTGTATGTAGCCATATGTGGGCAACCTTGAAATTGTAAAATGACTTATTGACACTACAGCTGACAATGTGTGTAATAGTATGTATAGTTATAAAACATTCGTTTGTATAGTGCGAAATTAATCTGTAAGAATATACCATGACTTTGCTAGTAGCAAGGTACTTGTAGAGTTCAAGTCTTCCATGGCCTTGCATCGGTTGCAAAACATAGTCTGTTGAAGTCTGGGCTAAAATTTGGCTGAAAAGTCTTAAAATGGCCTGTCGTATTATTGTAATCTGTTGATATATGTATGTATTTGGACTGTAAATTAGGTAGTTTAGTTTGTTTGAGGACTTTTCAATGTAGTATCTGCAAATCTCGAGCACCCAACAGAAAATTTCCTCGCTAAGTGTGAAAGAGCATTGTACTTTTTACAATTGATTTAATTAATATGCACTATAATCTAATTCATTACTTCTATTAAGAGTAGCATGATATTTCATTCTTTGTTCTGTACAAATATGTAGTATGAACATGTTAGTTTATAAAAAAAGGATCCAATTCATTAGTCTTTTGTATATTATTAAATATACCGTAAACAACATTTGTATGTAAAAATATCGAGTTTTAAACAGGTGTCCGAGACTTTCCGTTTTTAGAAATTATAGTTTTGCCATGAACTCTGAATCTCTGTAAAAATTACTTAAAAAAGTTACATTTTGATGATTAGTTTTTCTTTTTCTCTTAATGGGATATTTATGCTCTTATTTGAGGAACGAAATGTAATACTTTGTCGTAATTAAGAGAATTATTGAAATATTAACATAACTATTAAAAGTTTAAAATAAAATCATCCATACATATGTAAATATTTTTATATTTGTATGTTTTTATACATACCTATATATGCACATATATCAACAGACATTCAGTAGACATCAATATGTAACTTCATGACTCATTGATGTTAAGTGTCGCGTAAACAAACCGATTTGCCCACAGCAATTTACTTGCAACTACCCACTGCTGTACACCAATTAACAAGTACCACCCCATTTTCGATTTTTTTTTAGAATAAACATATTTACTCAAATCTTTCCCTCTTCCACTCATTCGTAAAGAAATTAGTGCTTGATTTTTAAAGAAAAGAAATTCAGCAAATCAAATTATCAATCGTACATTCTACTATTTATTAAGTAGTATTTCGTGCACAAATTTGTTAAATAATTACATGCGAAAATTGCTTATTTAAACACTTTTCGAAATACAAGCCGTTTATTATGTATTAAAAACTTAACTTGCAAGTCGCTGTTGTTAATTTGCTGGACTACATCAGTGTCGCCCAAATCTCGTAGAGCTCATTATTCCATCGCTTTTGCAAATATTGTCATACAACACTTTTGTTTTTCTGTGATTTTTATTTTCAAGGCAAATATTGTTGCAGATGTTGAACTTGAAGTTAGAAATTGGTGAATGCTTTCGTCAAAAGCAAGTAGTGTTGCTTCCATAAACTAAATCGCTTTGAACGTCAATAGCCATTCCATCTGTATCATTTCGAGGTTGGCAATCCTTATTGTGATCGTGGTCCAAGGACCCAATGATTATAACCCTCAATTAAATGCTAGCAAAGCCTATTTAATTTATTAAAGCAATATAAAGGGTGATTTTTTTTAATTAATGATCGTGACTGCGCCTCAAATGTTCCTTTCGCTTAGTCCAATTTCGGCATACTCTTTCCAACATTTCGACAGGTATCTCACGAATGAATGCTTCGATGTTGTCCTCCAATGCATCAATTGAAGCGGGCTTGTCTGTATAGAAATTAGATTTAACATAGCCTCACAAAAAATAGTCTAAAGGCGTTAAATCGCACGATCTAGGCGGCCAATTGACCGGTCCCGAACATGAAATAAATGTTCACCGAATACGCCTCTCAATAAATCTATTGTTACGCGTGCTGTGTGGCATGTGGCACCGTCTTGTTGAAACCACATGTCATGCAAGTTAAGTTCTTGCGTTTTGGGCAAAAAAAAAAAGGATATCATCTCACTTCATTCACAGTTACGTTACGATTCACCCCATCCTTGAAGAAGTATGGTCCAATGATGCCACCAGCCTATAAACCGCACCGAGCTGCAACTTTTTCTGGATGCATTCGTAGAAACGTGCCTCAATTGCTTAAACCAGTGTTGCCGGAAAGATAATAGCTAAAAAAACACCCTTTACGTACATACGTATGTATATAATTAGATAGTGTAATTTTACAATATTATAATCAGTGAAAAAGTATGCACAATAAATTGTGTTCAACATTTGCTCTTTGCATACGCTTAAAGCTATGCTCTGATTGGTTGACTACCTTAAAATTTTTAAATATTTTCTTTTCACATAAATTTAACATTTCTAATCATTTCGCTTACATCTAACTGATAAAGAAAGTAAAGAATGCAGTTTGTGTTACGAGGGGTGATTATAAGTATATATTACTATTGGTTCATCTGAAAACCTAAACACCAACCGTCGTAAATACAATCAATTATAATCATTATTAAATTTATAAAGTTTGTGTGTTGCATATGAATTAGATTTTCTTTGAAATTGTTTATATTTTTTCGTAGCATCTAAGTTTTAAATATCGGTCAAATATTATTTGCTAAAAATATTTTCTAAAGACCAAATTTACAAATGTGCATACATACATACATATATGCAAAAATCGTCGAGTTCGTGATAAGGTGTATGGGTTTAAATGAGGTCATTGCCTTCGAATCGTTATGTGGTTACAGATGTTTAAACATATAATCATTGAATATATAAAATCATGACATAAATATAAAAAGTGATTATTCCTCTATAGAAGTGATAGGTATTGGATTGCCCCAAAAGCAAACGGCAATTTTTCATACCGACGTCGTTGACAATTTCTTTCGAACAGTTTGTGGCTAGTTAATTGAATTTTTTCTTTTTGCAGTTATAAACTGTGACTTTTAGCTTGCTTTAGAAAAAAAGTACGCGTAATTTTGTTTATATTTGTTTGTTTGGCGACAATTTCAATATGGAGGTCACAATAGAACATTTTCGCCATATTTTACTTGATAATTTCCTTAAACGAAACGCAGTGTTGAATTTGGTCTGTCAAATTCCGTTCGGAAGATTTTTCAATCAAAGAAAAGCCAAGTTCAAGTCGGCCCAGTGAAGTTGATGTTGACGATATCAAGGCTTTAATCAAATCGGATCGTCTTGTAACTGATCGTGAGATTGGAGAGAAGTTAAGTATACCAAAATCAACCGTTCATAATCATATACGACGTCTTGGACTGGTAAAAAAAACATGACAAGTCGCTTCAACACTTGTGATATGCATCTTAAACGCAATTAATGTGATCCGTTTTTGAAACGAATCATAAGTGGAGATCAAAAGTGGATTGTTTACAATAACTTCAATTGAAATCAAATATGGTCCAAGAATGATGATGCATCACAAACCACTTCGATGGCTGATATTCATCACAAGAAGATTGTGCTGTCAGTTTGTTGGAATTGGAAGGATGTGAAATACTTTGAATTGCTTCCAAGGAACCAAAGGATTAATACGGATGTCTATCGCGAACAACTGGAAAAATTGAATACAACCATCAACGAGTAGCGGCCAGAATTGGTCAATCGTAAAGGTGTCGTATTCTACCAGGACAATGCTAGACCGCCGCACACATCTTTGATCATTCGACAAAAACTGAGAGAGCTTGGCTGGGAACTGTTGACGCATCCACCATATACGCCTGACTTTGCACTGGCAGACTACCATTTTTTGAAAACTCATTAAATGGTAAAACTTTCGAAAATGACGCGGCAATAAAATCGCATTTGGTTCATGTTTTTGCAGATAAAAGCCAGCAGTTCCATGACGGTGGAATAATGATTTTGTTGCAAAGCTGGGAAAGGTCACCCAATAAAATACAATTCACTTAATTGATTAAAGTTCATTATAAAATTTAAGGAAATGTATTTACTTTCTTTTAAAAAATCTCTTGGGGCAACCCAATACAAAACTCTAATATGTAGATTTAGTTTATCTACTTACATTTAAATACGAGCTCAGACAAATAACGCTTAGTTTTTTCAATTATGGCACATATTGATTCATAGCTCTTGTGAATCTTCTGTAATTTTACAGATATTCCAAATTTAGTTAACGGTTAGTCAAAAATTTCAAGTTGAAAATTTCTTTTAATGAATTTAAAATGCCTAAAAAAATATGAAAAAAGAGATACCATAACTCTAATTGAAATGACAGTAACCGTTTGTTAACTATACAATATCTACTTTCCATTTTGCAGGTTCTTCCGCCACATACGGTTCAACCTGCAGTATCAATGAGACATGCAAACTGTATTGCAGAACAGCAGCGGCTTCAACATCAACGCTTTCTGAAACGAATATACGATCCACTTTAAATTCAAACAGTTTGGTTTGAGTAATAAAAGTTAAAGTTGACAAAAATAATAAATCGATTAAAGGCTGTTACGGTTTCAGTAAATTCTATGAACTTAAAAGAACTTACAAAGACAATAGAAAGCTAATAGAATACCGTAAATTAATTATATAAGCATACCAATTCAGCGAACGATGGCGACACTGCGGACGCGTTCGAAATGGATATTATTGGAATTTCTTACAGTTTTTGGACTTACACTATTTACCCAGGAAGCGGTAGCGCACGTGCTGGTCTATAGGAGAATAAATAGTTTGGTAAATAAGTAATATTCATAACAAATGTTAGCTTCTTACATACAGCATTTATTGCTATCTAGTATATAATATCATTTTCCACGTGTGATTTCTAATAACATCGTATGTATTAATATTTTTCAGTTTTTCTCTTTTTCGCAGCTAATTGAACAGTACAATGATCTGCCGGCGCAATTCGGTCCACCCTTACCGGCGAACGGTATTAAAGTGTTCGCCATACCAGCCGCAAAAGATGAATATGGCTGTGAGCGTTTGGCAGTGCCGCCACGGGAAGAGGGTTACCCGAAAAATGCGAAATTCGTCGTTATAATCAAGAGGTAATAAAAAAAATCTTAGTTTAGCTGCTAAAACGTAAGCATTTATTTACATATATTTCTCTAAATTTTCAGAGGCGGCGGTGCAAATTGTACTTTTGAGAGGAAAGTGCGCAATGGGCAGGCATCTGGTTACGATGCAGTCATTGTATACAATAATGATGGCGATGATTTAGGTGAGTAATCCGTTTTTCATTGAAATTATGTTCCTTAAACATTTCTTTTTAATTTATTTACAGAGCAAATGTCAGCCAGTAATAGTAGTGGTATATATATACCCTCGGTTTTTGTTGGCCATACAACAGGTTTAAATTTAATGACCTTCTTTACAACAGATGTTATATTGGTGATCAATGATGAGCTGCCATTCAATATTAATACCCAATTAATTTTGCCATTTTCGATTTTAATTGGGCTATGCTTCCTCATTATGGTAATTACCCGAATAAATATTAAATTAAAAAAAAAAAACAAAAAAAAAAATAGAAAGTTATATAGGATATACGTATGTACATATGTATGTATGTGACCTGTTAATTCTCTCTTGATCCAAACTCGAATTTCTTTATATTGCCTTTGCTATAGGTGTTCTATATGATTTACAAATGTGTGCGGGAAGAGCGTCGCTTACGTCGGCATCGTTTGCCAAAGAATATGCTCAAGAAACTGCCGATCCTGAAATACACGAAAAATTGTGACCTCTCACAAGACACATGCGTCATCTGCTTGGAAGAGTTCGCTGAAGGTGACAAACTACGTGTACTGCCGTGTAAACATCGTGAGTTGAATCAATTTACCCGTTGCCTACATACCACCTCATAAATGTTTATACGAAAAAAAACTCTATTTTATGAAATTATAGCCTATCACAGTCACTGTATCGATCCGTGGTTAACAGAAAATCGTCGCGTTTGCCCTATTTGTAAGCGGAAGGTTTTTACGAAACGCCAGTCTCGTGCCGGCAGGACGAATCGACAATCTTCATTGGATAGTGTAACAGATACAGATGATGACACAACACCGCTACTACCGGCTACAGAATCAGAAAGGGCCAGCAACAGGCAGAATAGCGGCACTGCTACCAGTAGCAATAGCGCCGTTGGTACTGGTCGTAATGTACATAATGTTGCACCTAATGGTGGTCGACGTAATGGTCGTAATGCGACAACAACAACAAGACATGGTACCTTTAGGCGTGCACCGACAAATGATGGTCATTATGTCACCGATATAGCATCTGATGAGGATAATAGTAAGTGAAAGATTTAAAAAATTTCTGTATATACAATTGTAATATACAAACTTAGATTAATGTGTCACAATCAGCGTCCTGTCAGAAGCTTAGTCTAAAGCAGGGCATGTTAAGGGTGGTAAGAAGTTTTTTTATTGAAATTTAAACAAAATTCATTTGGCTTCGCATTTCCCATTTTTGGGTTCATTACACATATGTAAATACGTAGTTCCAACAAATCAGTCAATGACTGCTGCGGGGTAGGGGTTCAAGAATTTTCCTGCGGTAAGGAATGCCTGCCGTAAGAGGCATCTAAAATCTAAAAGTTACCGTATTTCTCCAACGAAACATTGCTTTCATATTGGTTTGGCACAAAATATCTGAAAGCGCTTGTAAATGATCGTTATATTTTAAATCACTTCTCTCCCTAGTAGCGAAGACTTTTAAGATCTTGCCTCTCCCGCTTTACACACATCACCTGAATCCAGCAGCACATCAACATGGCTTTCGCAAAGTTCACAGCACCACCACACTGCTCTTAACGCCATAAACACGCGGATGGTCAATGGCCTCAACCAAAACGGTCAACCATTTAGTGCTACTATCGGACATTGAGGAATCCTCATTACCGCCAGCGTAGAAGAGGTGGATCATGGGTGACCTGAATGGACAAATTTCGAGATCAAACATCGAAACTCAGGATGATTAAAAAAGGGGTTCCGCAGGGTGCTGTCTTCTCCCCATTACTGTTTAACTGCTATATTTCGAAGCTCCCTCTTCCACCAGAAGGGGTTTCTTGACAGTACATGTCCACGATTGCTCGATATTGGCGTTTGGCCTACAAAGCAATTGACCAGCCGTAAATCTGAACGCCACGGACTAGCGAGACGCATGTGAAGAGGCTACAAGCCTGCCAAAACACCGTCCTCAGAACCATAACAGGAAACCTTCTGATATCGCCTGAGCTGTCTAAGTAATTCCTGTTGGGAGAGAGTCAAACTCGAGCTGTCTCAAGAGTCCCACGTAATACTGGCGCAACTAAGCTCTGGATATTGTAGCAGACTAAGTTCCTATACAAACTCCATCCTAACATACCTAATGTATGTCCAGTATGCAACGAGTTCCCGCACGATACTAACCAACTCTTTACATGCCTCCTAAAACCTACACACAGTCCAAACCAACAACCTATTATCTATCGACGTCTAATATTACCTGCTGATCTAAGCCGGTTAGGTCGCTGAAAGGGTGACAGCCCTTGGCCGGATATAAATTTCGGTCAATTGTGGTGCTTAGAACCGGCCAACTCATCTAGCCCCCTTATCCCCTGGTCCGAACCTGTCGAAACAGCTCATTTCCTGGACCTCCCCTATATGACCCCTATGTTTTCTAAGGGTTTTAGAACAGCTACGACAACAACACCAATCGGCGTCGAAAGGCATTTAATTCGATTTGCGGTGTACTTAGTATGGCTCTTCATAATAGTGTCTGAGGCTTTGCTTTTTATTTTTGGTTATTTTTCATGCACCAACATCATTTTATTGCAACATAGAATAACTGTACTGACAAAGCATATAGAACATTCTCGCGTTGGTTGTCATTAATATTTGATGGAATCAAAAAATTAAACTTTTTTATTAAACCAATAATAAAATATGAAAGATTATATATAATATTCCCATAAAATATTTCTGATTTTTTATTATTACTTTAGTATTATTGTCACAAAATTCCCCTGCACGACGTGGACGACGTGTAAATCCCTTTGATCGCAGGCCGAATATACCCCCACATGTCGTCGAGCAACTAACCACCAATAGGCGCTCCTTCTGGCGAATACCACTCTTCAGGTGTGTGCCTTCAGCAATAAGGTTTATAAATATTTTACAATTTTTTTTACTAAACAAATTTTGTTCCCAGCAGATTCTTCCGCCGAAATCAATCTATAAGCATTTCAGCGCCATCCTTTTACGAGGAGTTTCCTGAACCACCGATTAATGTTACCATTGCGATAGATGCAAATGCAACGTCAACTGCATCTCCAACACGTACGGAACGTGTCAGCGCAGATAGTAGTACGTCACAAACAATACAAACTAATACAGCACCGCTACCCGTCGCCCATTGTTCGAACAATATCCTCAATCCGAATTTAGCTGGTTCTTTTAAAGAATGCGACGAGGATGATTATGATGATGATGATGATGAGGAGTGTCCACAGCAATCGATATATGAGCCAGTCTCTGTAGTGACGCAAAATGAAACAATTACAAATGGCAATGAGGTTGGTGTGTCAAGACAACAACAATCACAACAACAACAGCAGCAACAGCAGCCAACAACAGCACGTCCACAGCGTACGCAACGCATATGAGTGTGAACTCAAAAGAGAAATGGAGAACTAGAAATGCTATAACCAAATCAGACTTAGCCTGCGAAGAAGTATGTTGGAGTGAGAATACAATACAGAACGTATATCTTTTAAAGGAAAATAAAATTTAGAATTAAGTGAGATGTGGGTATTGAAATCGAACACGACTGGAACGCATCACACCTGGTGCTATAGTTGCGCGATAATCCTCGGCAGATATTCACGTTTAGAAGTAAGAATACACGTTAACACATGAAATGGACATGCATGGATAGAGATTGTGCAAGCCTGCGTGTTTAACAACTGTAAATTACTATAGGATTTTAATAATTTTTAATTGTTTGATTAGAATTTTACAAAATGTGTATAAATACATATATATAAAATGTGATTTACTATTGGCTTCGATAATTTACATGCATACATGCACATACATTGATTAGTATAGGTAAATACAAACTTTTATCATTTAATAACGTAAATGCGTGTGTAGTTAGGTAGCAGTTTGGAAACGAATGCAAAATGCAACGCAAATGCACGCAATATCAACGAAAAAGATCAAAAAGAAGAAAATAAAATTGTTGCAAAAAAAAAAAAAAAAATTATAATAATAATAATAATATGAAACAAATAAAATAAACAAAAAAGCATAACAATAAAATGTAATTAAGCAACTACTATTCAAAATAAATATAGCTACCAAATAGTCTACATACATACATATGTCTATAATGTTATTATAAATATATAAATAAGTTTCTGTATAGACACATACATACATATATACATATGTGCATATATATTTTTACAATTATAACCCCATTTTAGTTAAAAACAAAAACAAAATATTCTTCTTCTTTTTTGTTCTCTCTTGCTTTGTCGAACTTTTGATTTTTATCTGCATATATGTATAGGCACTTGACCCTACAGTAAACACATTTACAATTGCCCAACTGTGCCCTGAATACACGAAAATTGTATAAAGCACACTTTTCGGGTGTTACAAATACGAATATAACAATTATTTGGCTGTCTAAAGTAAAGAAAATAGGACTTTATTTTACTTTGAAATATTAAAATTAAACATTATCTGTTCTTCTGTACGGCAATTTTGTACCTTTGAGCCGCGCTCTTTAAGAAAGTCTTCAGCAGCACTAATTCATAATAAATTATGCGTGTCACTATGAATTTTTCTAACACATACACATACATATGTATGCCCATATGTATAAATATTTCAAAATATATTTGACTACTTCTTTTGATTTTGCCTAGATGAATTTAACGAGAGTGGTTTTTTTTACTCATTATTCTTAAATTTTAAATTTTATTTTATGCTTTTGAATTACTTTTGTTGCTTGCAACTTCAACATTTGTGTTATGATTTTATTTGTTTTTCCTCAAACAATAAATATAGACGATGTGTGTGATTCAACGTATGCAATAGGAGTAAATTAAGTTAAACATTAATAGCATTGTAATAATATAAATAAATGTATTGTATATATTACAAACAAACAAAAAATTACCCAAGTCTCTATTGAAAGTAGTGTGAAATGTAAATACATATACATTTATTGCTGAAAAATACACGAATGAAAATTTACTATTTTAGTCCAAAAAAAAAAAAATAAGACTTTATTTTTGAATTGTGCTTTACTCACTAAAATATAACTAAAAATTACAATCGGTATAAATATTTTTTTTTTTACAAATCAAATATGAAAATAAAGTTAACGAAATCAATACGATGATATATAAAATGTTTTCCAAATTGCAACAAGGTACGCAAATATAACGATTATAAGGAAAAGAAAGGTGGATTAATGTATTAAAATTGCGCTAATTTTGTATGTGATTCTACGCAGCTGTTTTGTGGCCTTATGGCAAAAACAATAATTACATTTAACGACGGAATATTTAGAATATCATCCTTGGTGCTAGCCTTGAAGAAAGCTCCAACTTCGGCCGTTAATTAAATAAATTCAAAGCATTGTAAAAGAAAGGTTTTAAAAAGGAGAAGAAAATGTAATCTTTATAATCGAATGGTAGCGAACAGTGGGCCGAAATGTGTTAATTTACACTGAGCTTGGTACAAAGCATATACATATGTCTATATAAACATATTTGTACCTAAAATATATCAAAGCTGCCATTGGTAATTTGATAAACTCATTGTACTGATATTTAATTGGCTTTCCATAGCCTCTTTAAGATAGCTTTGCAAAATACCCTGCATTCTATAAATTTGCCTTGCAGCAATACTTTACTCTGACTTTTTGGAACGTTTTCGTGCCAATAAGTTGATTTTCGGTGAAATGGCTAAAATATGTAACAATTCAAGAAAATAAATAAAAAAAAAAATAATAAGCGCAAGACACTTGCTCTCCGACGTCGGCCGTTGTTGTTAAGAATTTATGATAAAATAAAGCATCACAAACCTTAGCGATGCGCAGTTTGCTTTTGTTTACGCATCAATAACTTTACCTTGATACATCGCCAAAGTTAACACAGTTGCATTTAGGAATGCATGAAGATGTACGGTTGCTTTGCAACTGACGTTTTGGAACTCACCCTTACTTACTTACTTAACTGGCGTGGACAACGCTTACGCGATTGTAGCCGAGTTAACAACATTGGGCTATTCGTTTCGAAAACTTTCAAAGCTGGAGTATTCGCATCCATCCGGACCATATGACTTAGCCAGCGTAGCCGCTGCTTCTTGATTCGCTGAACTAAATGAACCGCATAACTCGTACAGCTCATCATTCCACCGTCTGCGATATTCGCCGTCGCCAACGTGCAAACCCTTTATCTCGAAAACTCCAAACGTCAACTCATCAGATGTTGTCATCGTCTATGCTTCCGCATCATATAGCAGGACGGGAATGAAGAGGGACTTGTAGAGTTTGGTTTTCGTTCGTCGAGAGAGGACTTTACTTTTCAATTGCCTACTCAGTTCAAAGTAGCACCTGTTGGCAAGAGTGACTGATTCCTAAAAATATGCGAAATTATCTGTCAACAGTGACGTGTGAGCAGAGTTGCGAATGCGATGACTGTTTATTTGATGACAGAAGATATTTCGTTTTACCCTCATTCACTAACAGACTCATGTTTTTCATCAAGTCTAGAGAAAGCAGAACTCACGGCGCGGCTGTTATGGCCAATAATGTCAATATCATCGGCGTACGCCAGCAGTGGTATACTCTTATAGGTTGTGCCTTCCTTATACAGCTCTCAGCTCTCTAGCATCAAATTGAAGAAATCGCACGACAAAGAGTTAGCCTCTCTGAAACTTCGATTGGTATCGAACGGCTCGGAGACGTCATTCCCGATCCTGACGGAGCTTTTGGTGTTGCTCAGGGTCAGTTTACACAGCCGTATAAGTTTTGCGAGGATACCAAATTCAGACATGGCGGCGTAAACGTACCTCCTATTCGTGCTGTCAATGGCGGCTTTAAAATCGACAAAGAGGTAGTGAGTGTCGGTCCTCTTTTCACCGGTCTTTTCCAATATTTGGCGCATGATGAATATCTGGTCAATGGTTGACTTACCAGGTCTAAGGCAACACTGATAAGGGTCAATCAGTTTTTTGACGTTTGGCATTAGTTTCTCACATAATACGCTTGATAGGACCTTATATGCGATATTAAGACCGACCATATTCTGCATAGTAGCTGATGCATGCACCTTGGCAGCTCTTTGCCGCCTATATGAATAGTTCTGCCGGTAGGCAGTCAGCTCCCGCCGCTTGGTTGGTTTTTAAGCGGGCGATTGCTATTCGAACTTCTTCATGGTCAGGTAACGGAAAGTTTTTCTCCATCGTCTTCGAGTGGGGTTTCGACTTCATCATCTCCGGATACTCCATTTTCACTGCTATTCAGCAGGGTGGAGAGGTGTTCCCTTCATATATACTCTGGTGATCGGCGACTAGATCACCTCTTTGTGTCCAACAAGAGTAACAAGAGTGCTCCGGTCTTGAAACCTTCCGTAAGTCATCGTATCTTTCCATAGAATTTTCGAGCATTACCTTTGTCCGCCAGTCTCTCAAGATCTTCGTAATCACACATCTCTGCTTTTTTTTGTCTGCAGATGCGTCTTGCTTCCCTCTTCAGCACTCGTTATATATCCCATCCCACACGTGTTGTGGTAGATCGCAGTGTTGCGTTGTAGACAGTCTGTTTTCTCTCCACTCCGACACGGCAGTCCTCATCGTACCAGCTGGTTTTGCGACCGTTACGACATCCAATAGTTTTGTTTGCAGCTGTACGTAGGGACCTTGAAATTCCGTCCCATTGTTCTCGTATAGCGAGTTGCTGATGAGTGCTCTCAGAGAGCAGGAGTGCGAGTCGAGTAGAAAATCGTTCAGCAGTCTATTGTGATTGCAGATTTTCGACGTCGTATTTTTCTTGTGTTTTTTAAAGGGCGTTCTTCGATACACAGAGGCGCTTATGGGTCAATAACACTGGAGACATGTCTTCCGTATGTCACAACATGGTTTTGTGTTTTTCAATCAGGGGACAACCAAGTAGCTTGTATATATGAAACTATACTTTCGTAAATCGAGCTAAGTTTCATCTGCGAATCGTTGCTGAATCGTAACAAAATCTACACAATTCTGATAGCCCCTAGTGATGAAAAGGGCATCACTTGTAGTAACCACAATCGAAAACGTTCCTTATCAAGATGCAGTGATCCGGTACAAACGGTCTCCAAGCCAGGATTGACAGCCAGGAAGGTTTTGTTGTTTGTTTGATGAGATTGGCTAGGAATCATCATTAGCGGTCTCCCATGACCAAACTATTAATCCGGATCTTTCCTATCTCCAATTGTATCGTCTGTTAAAATTAATTGCCAAGAAGCGCCAAGCTTTGGTCAACTGTAGAGGAATTGTATTTCATCTGGAAAACGCCAGACCACGCACATCATATATGATAAGCCAGATGCTCTGAAAGTTTGATTGGTTGGGAGGCTCTTATTCATCACCTTATAGTCTGTACTTCGCAACAAGTGAATACCTTCCGTTTCTGTTTATGGCAAAATATTTGCTTGGTGAAGAAACGGTCTCAAGTGAAGACTGTGAGGGAGGCCACATGAGTAAATGAAGGCGTAAATTTAATGCAAAGATAATGAATTAGGTTTTGTTAGACCTAACAGTAAGAGCCTACAGCTTGTACCATAAAGAATATTCTAAGACGATGGATTTTTGTATGTGCGGTTTTTATTTCAAGTCAGAAGTACACTTGGAGGGGCTCACATTCCATGCCAAGGGTCGACTGTAATTAGATAAATTAATTTTCTATAATTTTAGATATTGATCGAACCAGATCTCGAACCCTGACCGTCGGAATGACAATATGAAAGGCTAACCACTCGGCTATTGCGACCACCTTATATTCCCTATCGAAACCTTATCCACAGCACTACAATTTTGCTAGCGAAATTTCGTCGTTTATGCAAATTATTAATGCTTTTTAATTATTTCCCATAGAAATGGTTGAGTATTTTATCAAAAATTATATAATTGGCGCTTTGTAACCGCTGAAGCGATTTTCGGCCGAGCTCCTTCTCCAATTTGTGGTTTTGCGTCTTGATGTTTTTC